TTGCCATTTCTACTTCTTCATCTGAAAAGTGTCTATTCATTTTAGACACCTAATTTTGGATTGAGTCTTTAAATTTGAGGGGTCTGATTTTTTTGTAAGTTCTTCATATATTCCAGATATTAGTCCTTTGTCTAAGGAACAGCTGCCAAAATTTTTCCCACTCTGTGGGTTATCTCTTCACTCTGTTGGTGGTTTCTTTTGCTGTACAAAAGCTTTTTAATAAGATGAGATCCCAATTGTTGATTCTTTGTGGTATTTCCTGTGCAATCAGGGTTTTGTTCATAAACTCTTTGCCTACACCTATATCTTTAAGAGTTCTACCTATTCTATCTTCCAGCAGATTTAGTGTTTCTGTTTTAATATTTAGATCTTTGATCTATTTAGATTTTAGTTTAGTGCATGGTGAGAGTTATAGGTCTAGCTTTAATCTTCAGCATGTGGAAAGCCAGTTTTTCCAACACCATTTATTAAATAGGCTATCTTTCTTCCAGTGAGGGTGTTTGGCTCTTTTGTCAAAGATGAGGTGGCTGAGTGTGTCTGGAGTTGTTTCTGAATCCTCTAATCTGTTCCACTGGTCCTCAGGTCTGGTTTTGTGCCTGTAGTTTTGTAGTATAATTTCAAGTCAGGGATTGTGATGCCCCCAGCCATGCCTTTGTTGCCCAGAAATGCTTTTGCTATTCTAGGTCTCTTCTGGTTCCAAATGAATTTTAGGATTGTTGTCTCTAATTCTGTGAGGTATGCAATTGGTACTTTGATTGGGATTGCATTAAATCTGTATGACAATTTTGGGAATATGGCTATTTTCACTATATTTGTTCTTGCTACCCAAGAACAGAGGATATCTTTTCATTTTTTGATATCCTCTTTGATCTCCTGTTTTAGAGTACTGTCATTTTCAATGTAGAGGTCTTTTACTTTCTTTGTTAGGTTGATTCCTAGGTATTTCATTTTTTTGGATTCTATTGTAAAAGGTATTGTTTCCCCAATTTCTCTCTCAGTGAGTTTGTTATTTGTGTAAAGGAATGCTATTGATTTTTAAGTGTTGACTTTGTAACCAGCTACTCTACTGAACTTGGTTATTAAATCTAGAAGTCTTTTGGTGGAGTTTTTGGGGTCTTCTATATAGAGTATCATGTCTTCCTTTCCTATTGTTATTCTTTTTGTTTCTTGTCTAATTGCTGTGGCTGTTTCCAGAAGTACATTGAACAGGAGTGGTGATAGTGGGCATGCTTGTCTTGTTCTTGATTTTAGAGTGAAAGTTTTCAGTTTTTGATCATTTAGTGTGAAGTTGGCTGTTGATTTGCCAGAGATGGCTTTCATCAGATTGAGATAAAGACCATCTATTCTGTAGAGTTTTTCTGTAGGGCTTTTTTTTTTTTTTTTCATCATGAATGGGTGTTGGATTTTGTCAAATGCTTTTCCTAGATCTATTGAGATGATCACGTGGTTTTTGTCCTTGGCTCTGTTAATATGGTATATTATGTTTATTGATTTGCATATGTTGAACCATCCCTGCATCCCTGGTCATAATCATCCCTATTACTTGGTCATAATCTTCTTGATGATTTACTGCATTCTGTTTGCCAGTATCTTGCTGAGGATTTTTGCATTTATGTTCATTAGGGAGATTGGCCTGTAGCTCTCTTTTTTGGTTGGATCCTTCTCTGGTTTTGGTATCAGGGTAATGCTTGCTTCTAGGAATGAGATGGGGAGATTGCTTCCCTTGAGCAATACGTTTTACCTCAGGGTCTCTTTTATCTGATAGCAGTGTCACTGTACCAGCTGTCCTTTGGTTAGCACCTAGACAAGCTATCTTTAAACTGGAACATTTAATTCATGTTCATTGAATGCATGACTGATATATTGTATTTCAGTTTACCATCTTCTCTGCACTATTTGTTCTGTTTTACATTTCTATCTCTGCTCTCTTACTGTGCTTAAAGTTGAGTGTTTTGGTTTTTTTTTGGTACCGGGGATCGAACTCGGGTCCTTGCGCCTGCACAGCAGGCAGCGAAACCACTGAGCTAAATCCCCAGCCCCAAGTTGTGTTTTAATCATCCCACCTCAGCCTCTCTCAAGAACGTGTGTGACTTCCATTCCCTCAGTGACTGCCCTGGATGGTATGACACCATGAACTCAGGATGCCAGTTGTTCTGTTATCTCTGAGCCCCGGCCCCATAGGAGGCAGTGACCTGGGAGACTTTAACATGAGGCGTTCTCTCTGTTTATCTGCTATTGTTGTCCTGAATTTTAATTCTGTAGACTCGCAGTACAATTCCACAAGGCATCGTGTATTACTTCTGCAAACGGCCACTGTCCACTCAGACTGACACTCATGACTTCTTTGCCCTTTTTCCTTCCTGCAAGTCCAGCCTTACCCTTTGCTTCAACTTGAAGGTGACCCACCGCAACTTCTTTAAGTGTGGGTCTTCCGCTTATCTATTATTTATCATTATTAACTTGTCAGAATCATTTGTATCTGGGCTTCAGTAGCAGAGGATGCTCCACCTGGGTGTGAGTCTTTCTGTGGGCTCTGCTTTCCTCTGGTACACGGGGGATGCAGCTCCACACTGCAGCTCCTAGGCCCTGTGCCACCTGCAGAGCCCTTGGTGGTGAGCGCCCTGCTTTGTCCTCTGCACATTGTCTCCTTGGCACTGGCTTTCTGCATCTCCGCATTTGTTTGGGGTTTTCCTTTTTCTGGCCAGCGGGTCCCTGGGACGGCAGAATTCATGGCTCGATGTTGCTTGTCAGGTCTGGGTGCTCTCAGCCCTGCTCCATTCCACTGTCCTGGATCAGAGCAGGTGCTTGGGGCCCCAGTGCCAGTCTGTGTTCTGTCTTCATCCTCCATTCTGTGTTCCCATCTTTTTGTGTTCATTCTGAATTCTGAGTCATTTCTTCTGACCTGTGTTTTAGTTCCAGTTCCCTCATTTTTCTGTAATTGCATCAATCTGCTCTTAAATCTGTCCTTTTGTCTTAATTTCTGATATTTTATTTCTTATTCTATTTATTTGAACCTTTAAAATGTCTTCTTTTTTATTTTTATTTATTTTTTAATTTTTGGTACCGGGGATTGAACTCGGGACCTTGCGCTTGCGAGGCAGGCAGCAGAACCACTGAGCTAGATCCCCGGCCCTGAAATGTCTTCTTTTGTAATTACCACTTCCAATGGTTTTCATCCTAGCCACCCCCCATTTTTACTGTGGTAAAGTACAGCTGGCATTTGCTGCCCTCCCAGTTTCATATGCAATCCAGTGCTACTGAGCACGCTCACACCACTGTGCCACCATCAGCACCACCGCAGAATCTTTTCTCTTGTAAAAATGAAACTCTGTCCCCATTCAGTGATCACCCCCATCACTGTCCCCTCCGCTGCTGGAAGCCATGTTTCTACTTCCTGGCTCTGAGGATTTGATGGTTTGGGGACCTCACGTAAGCGGCATCACGCAGGCCTTGACCTCCCATCACTGGCTTCTGACACTCGTGATGTCTAAGGCTCACCCACCCACGCGGTCAGATATCAGGGTGTTCCTCCTTGTCAAGGCAGTAGCACCCTGTTCTTTGCAAATGCCACATTCTGCTTCTTCATTCACTCAGCCGTGGGTACCTCAGTTGTGTCCAGCCTTTAGCTACCGTGAATAACGATGTTGTGGACATGGGTAATAAATACAGACTTCTTCATATGGTGATTCTGTCTTCACTTTGCTGAGGAGCCACCATACCGTTCCCGCTGTGGCTGCGCCATTGTACATCCCACCAGCATTGCACAGGCTTCTGGTTTCTCCACTGCCAGGGCAACTCTGGTGAATCTCGGCACTGCGGGTGTTTTATTAGCCGCCTTCCCGGGATGTGAGATGCATCTCCCTGGAGCTTTGGTTTGCACTTCCTAATGATGAGTGGTGGTGAGCATCCTGCCATGGGCTTGCTGACAATGTGCATGTCTCCTTTGGAGAAATGTCTGCCCAAGTTCTCTGTACTTTTGAATCAACTTGTTTATCTTTTGTTGTTGAATTTTAAGAATTCTCTACATTCTGGATATGAATCCCTTGCCAGATGTATAACTTGCAAATATTTTCTCCCATTCCTGTGGGCTGACTTTTTACATTGTTGTTAGTCTCGTGATGTTTTCTCGTGTTGCCAGTGACCTTGGTGTCATCCAAAAGCCCCTGCCGAGCATCTGGATCTCTTGTCTCTGGAGTCCACGTCATCTGTAGCATAGCGAGGGTCCACCTCCACACTTGTCTGTGGGTACCCAGCCTCCCATCCCACCTGGGTAAGTGGTCCACACCCATGAGAGAGGGGTCTACAGGACCTGAAGCACCCTTGCGTCCTGCTCTCTGTTGGTGGCCTGAGGAGCTGAACAACACAGTACTTTCTCACCCAAGGGAGGCCCAGCACCTTCACTAAAGGCCCAGTTCTGACCCCTCTCCCCAGTAGCAGATACAAATAACCTGGAGTCTATGCTGTGACCACGAGCCCATGCTCCACCGCCCAGCACGCAGTGATTCAGGGCTGCTGTCTTGGTCCACTCAAGGTCCTGTAACAAAATGCTTTAGACTGGGCAACTTATGAACAACAGGGTTTGTTTCTCACAGTTCTGGAGACAGGAAGCCCAAGATCAAGGCACCGCCGGAGTCAATGACCAGGGAGACCTGCTTCTCGGCTCTTAGATGGGTCTTGTGATGGTGTTGTCACACACAGAAGTCAGCTCTCTGGGCTCTTCTACAAGGGCACAGACCCATTCATGAGAACCCACCCTTATGACCTAAAAGCCACCTAACACCATCGCCTTGGGGGTGAGGACTTCAAACATGAATTTGGGGGAGACGGTGGTTCAGACCATGGCAGCTTGTATTAGCCAAGCATCACAAGTAAGAAAACCAGGCATGGCTGTGCCTCTGGGAAGCACAGCCCGGGAGTGGCAGAGTCGGGCCTGGACTGTGTGCTTCAGGCAAGGCCGTCCACAGCGCCCAGCCCAGCTGCCTCTGGCTTCCTGCCCACAGGTGAACAATAACGGGATCATCTCCTTCCTGAAGGAGGTTTCTCAGTTCACACCCGTGGCCTTCCCCATCGCCAAGGACCGCTGCGTGGTGGCAGCCTTCTGGGCAGACGTGGACAACCGGCGTGCCGGTGACGTGTACTACCGGGAGGCCACAGACCCTGCCACTCTGCACAGAGCCACCGAGGATGTCAGGCGCTACTTCCCTGAGCTCCTGGACTTCTCAGCCACTTGGGTTTTCATTGCCACGTGGTACCGCGTGACCTTCTTTGGCGGCAGCACCTCCTCCCCAGTGAGTGCAGCTGCTGGTCCTGGCAGGGAGGGGGTCTGGCTCTGAGAGGGAGAGGCCTGGGGACCTGCCCCTCACCTGGCTGAGATCAGTCTCACGGCTCACTCTCCAGCTGTGGTGAAACCCAGATGCCCACAGTGGTGGCGCACACCTGGGGAGATGGGGTCCACAGGGTCCCTGGGACAGCACGGTGTGGGAGGGGCTCTGCTGCCTCCCAGTGCTCTCTCCTGGCTGATGCCAGGCGGCAGGCACGCTCATGTGGGAGCCAGAGTATTGTCCAGCCTGGTGGGCACAGTGGGTTGACTCCCTTGATGCCCAGCCTAGGTGTAGTGGGCGACACCCACCCAGGCTGATGCCAACTCCCAGGTGGAGGACGGGTGCAGGCAGCCCACGCAGAGCATCTGCTCACTTTCAGTGGACACTTCCGAAGGGACCCTCTGGGCAGCGGGCACTGTGCTGGACACTGGGACAGCCTGGTCAGAGCAAGCGGGCAGAGGTCCTGCCTGGCTGACTGGCCAGCAAGGGAGACAGGCCCAGGCGCTGGGCACCAAGGCAGCCCCACCAGCCTTCTCTCCTGGGCAGGTCAACACATTCCAGACCATACTCATCACCAACGGCAAGGCCTCCTTCACCATCTTCAACTACGAGTCTATCACCTGGACCACGGGCATGCATGCCAGCAGTGGGGGTGACAGCACCGGCCTGGGGGGCATCGCGGCCCAGGTAGGCTTCTGGAGCCCTGCTCCCCACTGCCAGGTCTGTCCCAAGGCGGGGGTCACCTTAGGCAGAGCCTCCTGACTCCGCACAGAGGATATCGTGAGATACCCTCAGGTTTCCTACTCCCTGGACCACACAGCATCCACAGGCCTAATGGCAGCTACCTGCTGGCCTGACCCCTGCCCAGGCCCCAGGCTGGCAACAGCTGCAGATGGGGTAGGGGCCCTCACTTCATGCCACCCGCTGCTTTCCTGGGTCGCTTCTGCCTCTGGGCTTGAGGGAGGCCCAGAGCCTGGGGAGGGCTAGTCAGGACCTGTCTGGGCACCCCAACATCTGCAGGGCCCCTCTGACAAGGCCGTCTGGGGACCCAAGGTTCTGGAGCCATGAGGAGACCCCCACCCTGCCTTCCCCACCCCAGGCAGGCTTCAACGCGGGTGATGGGCGGCGTTACTTCAACATCCCAGGCTCACGCACAGCAGACATGGCCGAGCTGGAGGCCACCACCAATGTGGGCGTGCCCGGGCGCTGGGCGTTCAGAATCGATGATGCCCAGGTGCGCGTGGGGGGCTGCGGCCATACAAGTAAGAGGACGGGTGCAAGGCTCCGTGGGAAGGGCGAGACCCAGGGTGGGAAGGGGTGGGGCCAAGCCGGGCCTGGGAGAGGCCCTCAGGGAGGCCTCCGAGCACCTGCAGGGCCATGGCGCCTTGGTGTGCACAGCTCTGTGTGCTCAGAGGAGGGAAGAGTGCTTCACCTCTGCCCACCCCCAGGCCAGCCTCTGGGTCTCGGACACTGGGCTTGTGGCTTGCAGATGGCCTGGCATCACCTGCAGTAAGCTGGACCCCAGTGCTAACCAGGCCCTCGGGGTATCCAGAGACCACCCAGGCACCTGAGAGGGCTACTCCCCACCAGGCTGACCCAGTCTGGGCTACAGGGACCCAGCTGCAAACAGCAAACAGCCCTGGGGACACCCAGACCAGCTGCAGGGTGTGGGCATCATGGAGGCCGAGGAGGATGCATACGCCCAGCAGGAGCACTCACTTCAGTGCTATGGCCTGTGTCTGCTACCACAGAGAGAGGCCTGGGGAGCCCCAGGCTGCCCACACACTTGGGCATGAATCACCCCCAGCCTGAGTCTGAGCTCAAAGGGCAGGAAGTACTGATCCAGGCACCTAATGAGTGCAGAGCCACAAACCACCTGCAGCCAGGCGCCTGCTTGGCCACCTGGCCTGGGCCTAGGTGGTGCTGAGTGGTGGTGGCTCAGGCTACTTCTACTGAGGCTTCATGGGGAAGTGAGTTCAGGGCACCCACCGGTGGCCAGTCGTGGGGTATGTGGCTGAGGGGTGGAGTGCAGGCATGGACAGCCTGGGACCCCAGCCCAAAGTGGAGGGCTTGTTCCCAGTGCCCACGGGGTCTGGCACAGGGACACAGCCCCTGCTGGGCCACACCCACCCATGCAGGCTCTCAGGGAGGCTTCTGAGGTGACATGAGCAGGGCCCCCGGGAAGGATGCTGGGTGCATGCCTGAGAGTGAGGTCCCGCCTGCAGGCCAGCCCCAGAGAACATGGCTCTTGCAGTGGCCAAGCCACAGGCCCGGAGAGCAGGCCCAACACAGCTAAGCGAGCAGAAAGAGAGGAGTAGAAGCTGTTCCAGGAGACACTGCAGCCTGCCCTCAGGAGTGTCCCCAGGGCACTCCCAGGACCAGCCGTCCAAGTGCTCAGAACACTCGGCCAGTCTGTGCGTAGGAGTTCCCCCTCAGCAGCCTTGCTGCTCCGGGGACTGGTGTCCAGGAACCGAGCGCTGGGGCTGCCTGTCCTGCAGGACACAGGGAGCACAGGAGCCCTCCCTGGTGGCAGCGATGCCATGAGAAAGCCCAGCTTTGGTAGCTGAGTGCCACCCTCCTGTTTCCATACAGGAGACCAGGCAGGGTGGCCGAGCAGGCTGAGCTTCTAGAAGGGTCCATGGCCAAGCTGGGAAGGATGGGAGGGATAAGCAGCGGCCATGGGTGTAGTGATTCTGGGATGTCTGCTCCACGGGAAGCCAGAGTGGCGCTCAGGCTCACCCATATGGGCAGCGCCCACCAGCCACGCTGGGCTCCCCTCCGTAGACCTCTGCAGTGACTCCATGACCACGCTGCCCTGAGGGGGACTGCAGGTTGACCCTTTGGGCTTGGGAGGGAAAGGAGATGCAGCCACAGTGAGTGGCTCTGCTGCCTCCACCCTGGAGGCAGCGTGTGAGGCTCGAGCTCCTTCCTGTGCCCACAGCCTCAGCGTGCCTGGCCCTGCGCCCGTGCCTCAACGGCGGCAAGTGCATTGATGACTGTGTCACCGGCAACCCCTCCTACACCTGCTCCTGCCTCGCAGGCTTCACGGGGCGGAGGTGCCAGCGGGGTGAGTCCCTGGCCGGGTGGGGACAGGACCCCCACAGAAGGGCCCCCTGGCCACACTGGGCTCAGGAGGAACTGTGGGTACAGATGGTGGCCCACGGCCCCATGAAGGGTGCCAGGCCCCGTGATGTGCAGCTGCCCCATGGAAGTGAGCAGGGAGGGTAAGTGCTGCTGCCCTGGCACCCATCTGTCCCTGTGTCCTCTGCCGAGGCCCTGGCCTGCCTGTGTTTCAGACGTGAATGAGTGCGCTTCACACCCGTGTCAGAACGGCGGGACCTGCACACACGGGGTCAACAGCTTCAGCTGCCAGTGCCCGACCGGCTTCGGGGGCCCCACCTGTGGGTCAGGTAGGAGAAGCCCACCAGCCCCATGGGCCTGTGGACACAGATGTGGGAGCCCAGAGAGGCCCGTGGGTGGGGTGGGAGAGGCAGTGCCAGAGGGAAGACCCCACTCGTGTGGGCAGGGGAGCAACCTGCAGCCAGCATGGGGTGGTTAGTGGCTGGGTCCCGGGATGAGAGACCAGGGGAAGGCAGCAGCGGGCTCTGGCACTGGAGGGCCAGCTGAGGGTGGATGGGCATAAGCACATCTGGACATGCTCCCGCCATTCCCTGCCCAGCTGCTCCAAGGACAGGGTGTTGTGCCCCACACCCCTGCTCTCCTCACCTGGGTGTGGGCTGGGTTCTTCCGTCATCACTGCACTCCCAAAATGCTGCTGGCCCTGTGGCGTCAGAGCCCACCTCCTCTGAAGCAGCTGCCATGAGGCACAGCACCTGTTTACCTGCCCTTCAGCCCCTCAGCCTGGGCCTCACCGGGGGTGCCACTCAGGGAGCTGGGCCAAGGGCACCTTGTCCCTGTGACTGCCACTCCCGAGCATGGCCAGACATGCATCCTGAGCACACTGACCAACGTCTAACAATCACTTCATTAAAAATGTGTACAGTGGCCGGGGATGTAGCTCAGTGGTTCCGGCACCTGCCTTGCAAGCGCAAGGTCCCGAGTTCGATCCCCGGTACCAAAAAACAAAAACAAAAAATGTATACAGCAATAGACTGTGTAGATCAAGTGTGTTCGAGTAGCAGCCATCTCAACATCTCAGTCTAGAAAAACAATTTCTGTGGGAGCCTCAGGGCCATAAGGAGCTCAGTCTTTCACTTCAGCGCAGACACACACCTTTATTGGTGAGAACTACAGTTGAATGACAGTAAAGGTCTACACATGGAAGTGCACGAAGATGAAACTGTGCAGAAGCAACAGGACGGGAACATGATTTCGAGGTGCACAGGGGAAAGCAGAATGTCCATCTAGCAGGGCTCATTTGTAGTGTTTAAAGATCACAGCATCAGTTGATTTGGTGACCCCTCAGCCAGCGCGGGAAAGGGTCAGAGAATGAAACACATTCCGGAGAGGTTTTCTCCAGGCAGAGGCTGGCCCTGCCGTTACTCAGAGTTCTCCATGAGCCTGTGGGGATAAAGTATCCATGGTGCAAGAGCCGTGGCAGAGAAGCTCAGGGAGGCCTTCGGGTCCGCACCCTCCCTCTCAGCAGGCGCTTCCTGTGCGTTGCTGGCCAGGGAGGGCACAGGGCCTGGGGGAGCGGCCCCGAGGATGGCCATGGAGCAGGCAGGAACCACATGTTGTTGGGGTCACTCTGCCTTCCAGAAGACCCACCAGGATGCTTGGCCTGGAGCAGGGGCCTGGTTCCAGGTCTGTTCTGCATCCCCAAACCACCCTCACGGGCCAAGGACTGCATTCCAGCCACCCCACCCCCTCCCCTACACTGGTTTGGAGGAATTAGACCCAATTCAGATGCTCCCCTCCCCATCTGCCACCCTAGAGACAGCAAATTTCACCTGTGCAGTAAACCCAGATAGGCCTGGGTGGGTGTATCCAGGGCCTCTGCCACCGGACAGCCACAGCTGGGAGTGCAGTGTCCTGTCCACTCCTCCTCACTTGCAGCCCAGTCCCCATGCGAAGACAAACAGTGTCAAAACGGCGGCCAGTGCCAGGCCGAGAGCGGCTCTGCAGTGTGTGTGTGTCCGGCCGGGTACACAGGGACCACCTGCGAGACAGGTGAGTAGCCACCCTCAGGACTGTCGCTGGGGAGCAGGGCACAGGGATCAGAGCCTGGCTCCCACCCGGCCCCTGCCTCTGCCGCCCCAGACGTGGACGAGTGCGGCTCTGGCCCGTGCCTAAACGGAGGCGCCTGTGTGGACCTGGTGGGGAGCTACAGCTGCGTGTGTGTGGAGCCCTTCGAGGGACCCCGCTGTGACTCAGGTAGTGCCACAAACCTCGGCCCGCGGTGACCATGCTGGGGCACAGCCACACCCCTTCCACCTGACGCTGCTGCCCCGCCCAGCTGTTTGTGGTGGCTGAGCCAGGGTCTCTCCTTGGTGGGCCCGGGTTTCCACCTCTGATGTGCAGGGAGAAGGGACAGAATTCCCAGGGCCCCTTTAGCTCTGAGACTGCTGGCTTTTAAGGTCTCCCTACTCCCTGTGCAGGGGAAAGAATGGAAATCAGAAAAAAACTGCCTTTTACTATGTGTGACAAGCCTCTCTCTTCCTGTTCTGCTTCATTTTGTTTTAAATGCTGGTTAGGACTTCTTGATCAGTGAAAGCCAGCTGGAGGTCAGAAAAGCAAAGTGTGAAAAAACACAGCCAAATCCCTTTAGCATCTGGCCAACACCAAGGGCCAGGCCACACCTGCATCGGTGAGCTCCCAGGCTCTGCTGCCTCGGTGCTGGAAATAAGCTGTTCCCATCCATTCTGTGTCATAAACCAAGGAGGACAATTCTGGGCTGCAGATCGGCCACCTGTGGGCCGTGCCTTCTCTGGCCTGTCAGCGGGAGGCCGCCTGCAGAGGGTGGGGCTCCAGGCTCTGCTTCTCCCAAGGTGGTTAAAAACCACATACTTCACCGAATACTGATCAAAAACAGATGAGTGCTGGGCTGGGGATGTAGCTCAGTGGTGCTGTGCCTGCCTGGCAAGCACAAGGTCCTGAGTTTGATTCCCAGTACCGGAAAAAAAAACAACAGATAAGTGCTTTCCAAAGATTTTTGCATAAAATCATGTTTTGCAGGGCCGGGGATTTAGCTCAGTGATTCTGCCGCCTGCCTTGCAAATGCAAGGTCCCAAGTTCAATCCCCGGTACAAAAAAAAAAAAAAAAAAATCACGTTTTGCATAGGATAGCAATCCAAGTAGAAATGAATAACAATAATAAAAATAGAACAAGCCAGGTGCAGGGGGACATGCCTATATTCCCAGCTACTCCAGAGGCTGAGGCAGGAGAAACACTTGATCCCAGGAGTTCAAGGGCATCCCAGGCACCATAGGGAGACTCTCTTCAAAAACAAATACAAGGGGGGCCAGGGATTTAGCTCAGTAGTTCCACCGCCTGCCGTGCAAGCGCAAGGTCCCAAGTTCAATCCCCAGTACCAAAAAGACAAACAGAAATTAAAGTGAAAGGGTTTTTTTCCACAAAAACCAAGAGTATCAGCATACTTGTGTTGTAAAAAATGATAAAGAAAATTCTTTAGACAGAATAAAAATATTACAAATATGGATCTAATCAATGAATGAAGTGTTAGAAATTACCAAATATGGATAAGAGACTTTTTCTTTAAAGAACTCTTTAAAGATACATTTAAAATCATTTTTAAGGGCCGGGTATTTAGCTCAGTGGTTTCACTGCCTGCTGCGCAAGTGCAAGGATCCGAGTTCGATCCCCAGTACCAAAAAAAAAAAGCAAAACCCAAAGCAAACAAACAAAAAAATCATTTTTATTCTAAAAATAAAGGATAGAATATATAGAAATAAAACACATGATATTTTTTTCTGTAATGGGCCAGATAAATACTTTGGGCCTTGCAAGCCACACAGCTGCCCAGCTCTGCAGTTGCAGTGTGAGAGCAGCTAGCTGTGGAGAGTACACAAATAAAGTCTGTGGCTGTGTACCAACAAAACTTTATTGTTAAAGACGGATGGCAGCCGAGATTCAGTCTATGGGCCATAGTTTATCAACCTCTGGCATAAAAGATAGGAAGAAATCAAAGTCTAATGTTGTAAAGTTCTCATAGAAAGTGGTGTAATATTGTTTGAAGTGGTGTAAGTAAAAGATAAACACTGTAAGCCATACGGCAACAATTTTTTAAAAATAAAGTTATATCCAATAAACCAATTGTCTAGGTAGAATGGACTCCTAAAAATATACAATCCAGAGGCAAGAAAAGAATACAAAAGAAACAAAGAAGTAGGACAAATAAAAGGAACATCAAAATGATGTTCACATCTGCAGCACATTAAAATGTGAAGGGTTAAGCACACTGGTCAAAAGGCAGAGTCAAAAGAAACCTTCTGCACACACAAAGGTTGGGTCATTGTAAAGCAGTGGCCGGGTTTCTGGAAAGGCAGAGAACGCACATTCCAGCCTCTCTCCACTGGATGTCGCTGCAAGGCCTGGGCAGAGGTGTGGACTCTGAAAAGTAAATAGAAGCAAGTGGGGGAAGATGTACCTTGAACCACCAGGCAGGTGGCGAGTTTATCATTTTTTGCTCTGGTATCCCCTCAGCCTGGACTCAGAGCCCTCTGAGACCAGAAGTGAACCACAGCAGACAGAGGTCAGGAGAGGGTCATAGCCAGGTCCCAGCCAGGCTCAAGAAGAAGGACCATCAGTGGGAGGCAGGCCCCTTCCTCTCCAGTTGGGGGCACTGTGGTTTCCAGGGGGGCAAACTCTCCATCCTCCTCCTGCTTGGTGCAGCCATGAGTGCAGCCACCAGGAGCAAGTGGCAGGAAAAGGCAATTGAAGCCCCAGATTTCTTGCCAGAGGACCAGAAAGGGGAGCCCCAGAGAGCTCCTGGAGATTGTAGAGAGGGTGGTCTTGGGAGAGCAACTCCAGAAAGTTATTTATGAACTCTCGAGCTGCCCCAGCTGGGCATGTATAATCTGATCCAAGATTTTATTTTAAAGACAGTAATACTCCCAAAAGTAGAAGATCTAGATATGAATTTAATAAAACATGTACAGAATTTACATGCTGAAAACTAGAAAATATTAATGAAGAAACCAAAGATCTAAGTAAATGGATAGACATACCATATTCATGGAAAAGAAGACCCAACATAGTAAATATGTCAGTCCTCCCTAAATTGATTAATGGATTTAAACTGATTTCAACCAAAATATCAGCAGGATTTTGTTTGCAGACACAGACAAGCTGATTCTAAAATTGATGTGAAAAGGAAAAGGACTTTGAATAACAAAACAATTTTGAGAGTCAGTGTTGTGAAATCGCACTGCTGGGTGTTAAGGTCTGCTATAAAGCTACCGTGATGGAGACCACGTGTTACTGCCAAAGGGCCCTCTGCACAGACTGGCGAGATCAGAGAGAAACTGAAGTTAGACTAAGTATTGCTGTGCACAGCTCAGCTGGATCTCAGAGGCACTGTGCTGTTTGAAAGCCGTTGCTCTCCGAAGATTACACTCCGCATGTTGTTACCTGGCTTTCCAGCACAGTGGCAGAATGCCTGAGAAGATCAGCTTACAAGGAAGAAGGCTTGTTTTGGCTCTCAGTCCATGGTCACTTGGCCCTGTGGTCTTTGGGCCATGGCAAGCTAGATCATCATGGTGGGAGATGTGGTAGAGGATAGTTCCTTACCTCCTGGAAGCCAGGGAGCAAAGAGAAAGAGAAGGAAGAGGCCACACCCAGTGTACCCTTCAAGGGCGCATCCCAGTGACCACCTTCTCCCACTAGCCCCACTCCTAAGTTTCCAACACCTCTAATGACACCATCAGCTGAGGGCCAGGCTTTCAACACAGGAGCCTTTGGGAGCTGTGAGATCAAACCCTCACAGTGCGGTTCCACTTACAGGGCATCTTTGAAAAGGCAACACCATGGGCTGGATGAGGTGGCGCACATTTGTAATCCCAGAACTTGGGAGGCTGAGGCAGGAGGATTGCTGTGAGTTCAAGGCCAGCCTGGGCTACACAGTGAGTTCCCCAGTCTGAACTACATAGCAAGACTGTCTCAGAAACAAAACAAAAACAAAGGCAGCACCATGGTGGTGAGCAGGCCAGTAGTTCAGGGCCTCAGGGGTGGCAGGGGTCTGAGATGATGAAGAAAGGAGAAGTGGGAGACTCTGGGGTCATGAGATGGCTGTGGCTGGGGTTCCACGTACCTGTCCATGTGCTAAGTCATGACTGTGTGCACCGAAGTCAAGTCAGTTATACTGCATTCTAATCTGCATGAAAATTTTTTTCAATGAGAAACGCTGGCAAACACTAATCAAGAGAAGGCTGGAGTGGCTACTTTAATATCAGATAACTTGAACTCTAGAGTAAGGAGCACTAGCAGGAAAGAAGAGGAAACTCTTATACTATCAAGAGGTCAGTTCATCAGGACATATTCTAAATACACTTGTCCCCCCTAATACCTGGTAACATGTATTAAAATAGGTGGGGTAAACGCTGGCAGACTGCAAGGAGAAACAGATACATCTGTACTCACAGGTGGAGACTGCAGTAATTCATAGAACACAAACAGGAAATCAATAAGGCTTGCACTTAAACTTGGGCTAACAGACATTTAAAGAGTCTAAACATTCAAGTGCTCACAGAGTATCACAATGATAGGCCATACTGTAAACCATAAAACGAGACAGCACTGAGAGGCTGAGGCAGAGAATCTCAAGTTGGAGCCCAGTCTGGGCAATTTAATGAGACCCTGTCTCATAATAAAATATTATAAAAGAGCTAGGGATGTAGCTCAGTGTGAAGATCTTGGGTTCAATCCCAAGCAGCACAATCAATGAGGCTCAACAGTTTGTAATAGCTAAATCTTGGAAACAGCTCAAATGCCCATCAACTGATTAGTGAATAAAGAAGACATGGTTTGGGGCCAGGGATTTAGCTCAGTGTTGCCACTGCCTGCCTGGGAAGTGCAGGATCCCAAGTTTGATCCCCAATACCAAAAAAAAAAAAAACAAAAAGATGACGTGGGGTTTTTTTTTATACAAGAGAGTACTACTCTGCCATAAAGAAGGACGAGCTTCAGACATTTATAGCTAAATGGATGGACCTTGACACCATACTCTTAAGTGAAATAAGTCGGACACACACGTTTAAATACCACATTGATTGTCGGGTGTGAGAAACCTACAGTGGAAATGAGGACTGAGAGGTATAATGGATGTTGGGAGATGGGAAGAAGGTGTTCAGATGGGAAGGGGAACAGGCAGGAGAAAGGAAGGAAGGGACGAGAAAAAAGTGAAAACAGAAGGAAAAAAGGAAACAAAGCTTTTGTGTACTTTTTTTTTTTTGGTACCCAAGATCTAACTCGGGTCCTTGTGCTTTCGAGGCAGGCAGCAAAACCACTGAGCTAAATCCCCGGCCCCAAAGCTTTTATATATAAGGAGGGGAGGATGGGATAAAATAAAATTTATTTTTAAAAATCAATGAGGCTCAGCAATTGAAGAAGACTGTGTTTTCTGACCACAGCAAAGTAAAAGCAGCCATCCATAGAAAGGTGCCTGGAACCCCCTGAGTGTTTCGCCAGTAGGAATGTCTGGGGGCCGCAGCGTTTAGTGGCCTCCACGACTGCTCGTTCTTTCCAAGCAAGGAGCCTAGGAGCTGACCCTCAAGGGTCGGAGCAGCTACAAATCAACTTGCAGGAAAACTTCTCCCTTGCTGTCCACTGGGCATTGAGAACTGAGGTGGAGACGCAGCAGCTGTTGGGGGAACTGGGCAGCCCCTCCTCCTCGCCCAGGTTCAAATTCTCCCCACTGGCGACCACTCTCTTTCTTGCAGGAAGCCCCCCAGTGCCCGATGCCTGCCTCTCGGCCCCTTGCCAGAACGGGGGCACATGTGTGGATGCAGATCAGGGCTTCGTGTGCGAGTGCCCAGAAGGCTTCATGGGGCTGGACTGCAGGGAGAGTGCGTCGGGACTGCCAGGCGGCATGCAGGGTGGGGTGGGAGACCCGGGGCCTGTGTGTGGCAGCAGAACCGGGGGGGTCCCCCGTGGGTCGTGCATGCAGGAAACCCACCAGAGAAAGTGTTCGGAGTGTTGAGTGTGTGTGCACTGTCACTCTTAAGGGAGGGCGGCCAGGATGGGGTCTTCCTGGACCCCACAGGACATCTCCTCCACTCCACGGCAGGAACCCACGACTGTGAGTGCCGCAATGGAGGCAGGTGCCTGGGTGCCAACTCTACCCTCTGCCAGTGCCCCCCGGGCTTCTTCGGGCTCCTCTGTGAATTTGGTAGGTCTGAGGCTGGGGGGTGGGCACTCGTCCTGTCCTGTCCCTGAGTGTCCCCATAACCAGGGTATGAATGGTTCAGACCCTTGACCCCCACCCCCATGTGGGCAGTGGCCCCTGGAGTCCCCCAGTCACCCTGGTGGGGTCACCCCCCCGTCAGGACACAAGAGGAGCAGGGGACAAGGGAGGGCTTCCCCTTCTCTCCACAGGGGTCACAGCCACGCCTTGCAACATGAACACCCAGTGCCCAGATGGGGGCTACTGCATGGAGTACGGTGGGAGCTACCTGTGCGTCTGCCACACGGATCACAACATCAGCCACTGTGAGTGGCTGGGGACCCCTGCTGCTCACGGGGCGGGGTGGGGGAGTGTCTGGCAGAGAAGGGGAGTGAGGCAGGCACCCTGGTCACTCCAGAGAATCTGCAGGTGGAGGTGCAGGCCTCTGCCCACGACCCACTCATAAGGTAGGAGGGATGTCTAGGAGTCCCACGTCGGACAGCACTTTGACCCAGCCACCAGCACCATGTCCCTCTTCCCTCAGCCCAAAGCCCAGACTATTCAATAATTAGTGCATTCACAGTTATTGTAATCACCTCTGCTACTGCGTATGTTAGTGTAAAGATGACCACATATGTGATGTGTGATACAGATCCACGCGGACAGTGGTAAGAAGACATTCACATGTCGCAGATCAGTGGTGCTTTCTGCTAAAATCAGGAGAAAGATACTCCGCGGAGGGGCCTGAGAGCCCTTGTGAAGAATCCAGATGCCCTGGGAGTGTGTTTTCAGTGGCGGGTCGCAGATGGCTGTCTGGTTGACCCTGGAGGGTACATGCTTCAGAACCACCCTCTGCCCCCAGCCCTGCCATCACCCTGCGACTCGGACCCTTGCTTCAACGGAGGCTCCTGTGACGCCCACGACGACTCCTACACGTGCGAGTGCCCGCGCGGGTTCCAGGGCAGGCACTGCGAGAAAGGTGTGCGGGAAAGGCACGCCTGCGGGGTGGAGGTGGGGTGCAGGGCCAGGGGAGCTCCTGAGCCAGGAGGGCAGACCCTGCGTCAGCACCCTGGAGAGCGCCCGCCCTCGTAGGCCGGCTCCGCTCAGGCGCAGGGCCCTCCCTCTCCGGTTTTTATTTGACCCTTCGCCTTGCTGCTGTGTTCTCGTCCACACACTGGGGCAGAGCCGCACGGACTTGACCGTTGTTTTCTTTCCCTATTCTGATCTGCATTCCTTACAACGGGGTTCATTTTGGGCTCAGCGTTTTCCCAAATAGATTTTAGAATCATGGTATGGAATTTATTTTTTAAAAACTGACTCCAGGGCCGGGGATTTAGCTCAGTGGTTCCAATGCCTGCCTTGCAAGTGCAAGGATCCAAGTTCGATCCCCGGTACCAAAAAAACCCAAAAAAACCCTGACTCCATTAGGGTTTTGTTAAATCTAATTCAACGTGGAGAACGTAGACGTGTCACCACACTTGACCACTCAGAATGTATTCTTCGGCGAGTACATGGCAGACAGGCGTACCGCCCTGGCATAGGCACCCCAGGACCGGCTCCCAGGTGGCTGGAAGACTTGCTGAGCAAACCTGAGGCCTGTGCTCCCGGCTCAGGACTCTTTGCTGATACCACAGCCCCAGCTTGCCTGGAAGCCAGAACTGCCACAGCCTCACCTAGGAGCCTGCCCACGGCACCTCTCAACAAAGGCCAACAGCCCCAGTAGAGGAGAAGGGTTCCGAAGGTTCTTGGAACCACCACAGACAGTGTGGACACTTCTGAGCCCAGAGGACAGAGGGGCCACAGGAGGCTGCTCTTGAGGTGGGGCAGCGGAGCTTAGACATGCAGCCTGTGAGGCCCCTGGGAATGGGAAGGGAGAAGGGTGAGCGAGGTGTGGGGAGAAGCAGGCCTCCTTCTGCTGCACCTTCCTCCCAGAGCAAGGAGGAGTCCCAGGACTCTGACCTCACTGGCCCGAAAAGTTGATTTGTCAAGGGCAGACAGATGTGTCTGATGTAGTCAATGCCACAGGGTTTACATTTTAAGTAAGTTATCGCTTCTTGGCCTTTTGGCTATGATCAAGTGTACATTTTAAGTGTACATTTTAAGGCTGCCTCACAGCACTGAGCTCCTTAGGGCACAGGAAATGCTGGGACCCAGAGAAGGTGCGCCCATGCCAGCACAGGGGCAGGAAACATGAAGCCTGCGCTGACTGCTGTGGATGCTGATGTCAGCTGCTGCTCAGAACCCTGTGGTCAAATGCCAGGCACCATGGCAGGAAGGAGGAGCACGTGTGCAGTTCTCCCCCAGGACAGCCAGCTCTGCTCGGAGTCTGGGGCAGAGAAGAGCAACCCAGGGGCTGAGTGAGGGTCTGCAGTCCCCCCATTGCATGTGCCTTCTGGGGTGGCCCCTGCTGCACTGGGCCTTGGGGCTCAGTGAGAAGCAGGCCTGACCTGCTGGGCCTGCCCAATGCCAGGGGTCTGAGAAGACACAAGCCGGGTGACAAGGCCTCTGTGCACCCAGCAGGCTGGCCAGGGTTCACTCACACCTCTCTGTCCTTCCACACAGCCCGGCCACACCTGTGCAGCTCAGGGCCCTGCCGGAACGGGGGCACCTGCAAGGAGGCAGGTGGCGAGTACCACTGCAGCTGCCCCTACCGCTTCACTGGGAGGCGTTGTGAGATCGGTGAGGCCCCAGGGTGGAGGGGGACTGGCAAGGCCTGAGCGGGGCTGAGCCGGCTGGGTAGTGTCGGGAGGGAGCCAAGCCCTGACCGGCAGCCTGACCACCGTGCATCTCCTTCTCAGGAGCACGCTCATGAGGCCCCAGCCGGGGCGCTGGGGAACCGGGGAGGGGTAGCAGACTGTGGTACCTGACCCTGCTGGGTATCTTTTGCTTCCAGGGAAGCCAGACTCCTGCGCCTCTGGCCCCTGTCACAACGGCGGCACCTGCTTCCACTACATTGGCAAATACAAGTGTGACTGTCCCCCAGGCTTCTCTGGACGGCACTGCGAGAGAGGTAAGAGGGGCACCAGGGACACTCCTCTGCACGTGTGAGACAGTCCACTTGGGCAGAGCTGGCCCAGCCCTGCCGGGGCAGGAAGCAGGACACCCCACGGTGACGGGGATGCTTGCATTTCTGCAGTCCCATCCCCCTGCTTCCGGAGCCCATGTTTGAATGGGGGAACCTGTGAGGATCTGGGCACAGATTTCTCCTGTCGCTGCCAAGCAGGGTACACAGGACGCCGATGCCAGGCAGGTGAGAGACCCAGGGGATGGTCTGTGGGCACAAGTTTTCTTCCTGATTCCCTAAGAGCTAGGCAGGGCAGGGGTGGGAAGAGGAAGACTCAGAAGTGGCCAGCAACTTACCCTAGATGGGCAGTAGCAGGAGCTGAGCCCCCCGGGCCCTGCAAGCAGGTCAGACAGAGCAATGGGCAGGGCTTGGGCAAGGCCCACAGCTCAGAGAGGCTTCTGTCCCCTTGCAGAGGTGGACTGCGGCTGGCCTGAGGAGGTGAAACACGCTTCGATGCGCTTCAATGGGACTCGCATGGGCTCTGTGGCCCTGTACACGTGTGATGATGGCTACAGCCTGAATGCCCCCCGCCACTTCCGCATCTGCCAGCCACAGGGTGTCTGGAGCCAGCCTCCTCAGTGCCTCGGTGATTCTGTGGGCCCTCAGGGGTGGGGTGGCCAGGGCCTGCCTGCACACGTGTCACCCAGCCACACGGAGGAGCAAAGAGCTGAGCCCTCTGTGGATCGAGGCTGGAAATCCTGTGGCGATGAGGTAACCATGTCAGCCTAACTCTGGACCATTCTCACTCAGGGCGTTCCTGTCCCTAGAGCAGCCTAGAGCAGGGGCCAAACACTCTGTAGATGGAGCAACTGAGGCCATGATGTCGCGCAGGTGCAGAGTCTAAAACAGGCAGATCTGGGCCAAGGGCTGTCTCCTACTCCTGCTCCCACCTGGGCCTGTGGAACCAGAATCTGCACTTGGTTAGGACCCCAGCACATAGCACTGGAGGGGCACTGCTCCCGAGAGCCCCCTCAAGACCCCACCAGAGCTGTGGGGTGTGCCTGGCCCAATGCCCTGGAGGTGGAGTTCCTTAACACAAGGGCAGGCATGTTACAGTGAGCCACAGCATGCACACTCTGCTCATCGGAAAGCTGTGTGACATTCATGCAGGCTTAGAAAACAAGGATTTTTAAACAACCTTAGGGGTGGGATGACAGCATCCAGAGGTGAATGGAGCACACAGTGCTTTGCTGTCTCTAAATGTCCACAAAGCCCTACTCGCCTGTCAGCCCTGCCCAGTAAAAGCTGCAAGATTCTGGGATGAGAAGACCACCTGGCCTGAAGCGTCTGTCCTCTCCTGTCCTTCCAAGCCCAGGACTTGTGCAGGCTGTCGGGGGCCCACCCCTCTGAGTGCTGCTTCTCCCAGCCATTGCCAGGTAAGAAGCCAGCTCCCTCAGAGGACAGGGGCACCCCAGCAATATATCAGGGACCCCGAGAAGCACAGCCACCTCAGGGAGTAGTCTGAAGTCCAGACAGCAGCCACCACTGGAGGCAGAAGCACAGAAGGGGAACAGCTGCAGAGAATGACATGCATGTCTCACGTCACACATCACACAGACTTTACATTCTGCCACACAAAGTGACAGGCATATAAAAATGAGCACTGTGTTGCCCATACAAAACAGGATCAATATTTTTAAAAGAAAATAATCCTTAAAAGGATTAAGCACTACAATAGTTGAAAAAACAAGCATACTTTGTAAGTGGACACAAATGAAGAGGGAAACAGAGGAGCTGAGGTGGAACCTGTGCTCTCACCAAGGCGAAGATGCCGAAGAGAACAGAAGAGCAGATGCTAAGGACGAGGTTCTGAGCAGCTCTGGAGTTCAGCTCCCGAGTGACAGGTGAATGATGGGTCAGAAGGGCCCCAAGAACCCCAAACAGAAGAAAAAGGAAACATGGTGTAGTAAAATGTAAGAATGTTGTGGACTCATAGAGGGAAAAACAGATCACCCATCAAGGGACAAGAATGGGACTGGCATCAGACTTCTGACACCAGCCTTGCTGTCAGATGACAGAAAGGTGCTTTTAAATAAGAGGAGACCCCTGGGTTAGGGTGGAGATGGTCACTCTCTCTGTAACATCCAGGAAAGCCCATGAGGCCTCAGGACTCCCAGCTGTTAACCTGTTGAAGAGCTGAGCATCCGGGAAGCTCGGGCAGCCCTTTCCTAGGCAAGAAAGGCTGGTGGTGCTTTCGTCCCTGGGCCCAGACCAGCAAGGGCAGGTGCCTTGAGGACCCAGAGAAATCCAGGCATGCTTTGAATGCTGTGGGGCACACACACCAGCTGACTGCCGAGGTGCAGACCAAGTGCTGAGCACCCTCATTGCCCCGCTCTGCCCCCCAAGTACAGTGTGACCCCAAGGGCCAGGAGAGAAAACAGGTTTCATGGTCTCCCAAGGCAGAGACCCCGAGTTCACTGGAGGCAGATGCCATTCCAGCACTCAAGCTGGTGGCCCAGCCCCAGCCAGGTCCGTTCCCAGCAACATCAGCAGAGCAGCCACACGGCCAGCTGCCTGGCGGAGGACAGCACGTGTGTCCTGGAGAAGAGCATCCTACTCTAGTCACTACTCTTCTTGTACACTCTGTGTCTGAGAAGCAAGAAATTATGACACATGATCTAGAAAAGAAATAGTCCACAGAAACAGGTTTCCCTGCAGCTGCCCAACTTCGGAATTTGCAGACAGGATCTTTAAAATGCCAGTGTAAATGTGTTAAGGAAAGCGGAGGAAGAGAGAAAGAAAATGGACAAGATACTAGAGAATGTGAGGAGAAAGGAAGAGTTTTAAAAGTAACAAAGCCAACCTGGGGGTGTGGCTCAGTAACAGAGTACTCACCCAGAACACGCAAGGCCCCGAGTTCGATCCCCAGAACTGGGAAGGGAGGGGAGAAGGGAGATGAGGAGGATGAGGAGGAAAAACAGAGATTCTAAAACGGAAAATAAAATATTCTAAATGAGTAAATTCGACAGGTTTAGCAACAGAAAGGATACAACAGAAAAATTCATAGAACTCAGGACAATAAAATTATCTCAACTGCAGGTGAGAGAGGAAAATTAATTTTAAGATGAGTTACGAATTATGAAAAAATGAATCTAAAAATAAGATAGAGATCAGTTACCTGTGGGACAACAGCAAATAAGCCCCAAACTGGAGTCCCAGAAATACAGAACAGAAGGGGCAAAAGAAATATTTGAAGAGATAATTACTGAGCATTTTCTAAAAATGAAATATATCAATCTGTAGATCCATGAAGCTCAACAAACCCTGAACAGGACAAATATTGTAATAAACAAAGTTAAGACCCAAAAATGTGTATCCAAATTGTTCTTCAAATATGGAAGATAATAAGTATTCTCATGCAAACATAGTCTCAGAGGCTTAGCAGAAAAAGTTATTTTTTTGGACAGAGTACTTAAATCATAAGCAAATCCAGTAAGAGAAAGAGTTATTACATATTGGTAAGGCTTATCACTATCCAAAAGGAGAAAAGGAAATCGGGAAAATGGCACATATGAAGACTGAAAAGAATTATTACGCGGGCAGGGCAAACCTGTAATCCCAGCACTTGAGAGGCTGAGGCAGGAGGATGGCTGCAAGTTTGAGGGCAGCCTGAACTATAGTGAGACCCTGTCTCAAAAAAAAATGAACAAAAAAAATACGATAGAAAAAACACAAATGCGAATATACTAACCTCTCCAGGTAAAACATCAGATTTATTACACACAAAGCAAGCTATATGCCATTACAAGAGATACTCCGAAAACATAAGGACATAGAAAGACCAAAAGTAAAAGTCAAGAACAAGTATCAGGTGAACAAAAGAAAGCTGGAACACTAGCACCACTATCAAAAAAACCAGGCTGTCCATGAAAACCAGCACTAAGAGGGAAGACACCCAACACCCAGCACTGCGCGCGGGGGTCCTGACCCCCACACAACAAACCCGTGGCTGCAGAAGACTGGCATTCACTGAGCACTGGGAGATTCTGGCCACCTAACTCAATTAGTGGCAGGTTAAGGAAGAAAAAATTGGCAAGATGAAGATTTGAACAACACACTTAAAGGCTGGAGTTAGACCGTTCTCTGAACACAAAAAATGTAAGTAATGACAAGAATGCACATTTTTAAATCTAATTTATGCAGACTGGAGATGTTTTTAAAAATGTTTTGAAATAGCTAATGAGTCAAAGAAGAAATAATGGAGGCTGAAAATTTTTAAATGATTAACAGTGGAGAGTTCGTGTATCAAAACTTGTGCAGTCTAGGAGAAGCAGGGTTTCCTGGGACAAGAACAGACTCACTATCCACATTAGAAAGAAGGAAGGCTCAAAACCTATTAACTAATTTCTTACTTAAGAAGTTAGGAATAGAGTAACAAATGATACTAAAGAAGGTAGAAGAAAAGAAGTGATAAAGGTAAAAGGCACAATTAAACAGAAACCAAAGATACCAAAGAGAATATAATGCCATTAGCCTTTGAAAAGTCTAATAAAATGGACAAATCCCACAAACACTGATCAAGAAAAGCAAAGAGCACAAATAAAAACCCTTACCAATTAAAATGGTGTTGTAACCACATAAACAGTAAATTAAAAACATAGTAAAGAAATGTTATCAGCTACACTATGCAAATAAATTTGAAGTCTTACAGAAATGGACATGATATTCATAGAAAAATATAACTTAACAAAAGTGACTCAAGAAAATGTAGAATGCCTGCATATCCTATGACTATTTAAAGCAATTAAAGCAGTAATTAAAACATTCTCCCATAAAGAAACAGTGGGCCTAAATCTTTTTTTCTTTTCTTTTCTCCCATACTAGGGATTAAACCCAGGGCCTCTTGATACTTGAGAAGTGCTCTACCACTGAACTACATACCAGTCCTTTGGAAATTACTTTTGCTTTGTTTTGAGACAGTGTCTCATTAAGTTTCCCAGGGTGGCCTTGAACTTAGAGTTCTCCTGCCTCTGGAGTACCAGCAGGAATTACAGGTGTGAGCCACTATATCCGGCCTGTTTTATGGGTGAATTCTACCCAACTGCCAAGAAACAGGTCATTGCAGTATTTTATAGACTTCCAGAGAGCAGATAATCAATACCTGTCAGTGCAGCCTACAGGCCTCATATATTTAAGAAAAGAAAAATACCAACCTTACATAAGCTCTTTTGGAAAATATAGGAGGAAGGACCACTTCTATACTCACTTGATGTGAACAGTACTGCTTTGACACCCAAGCGAGACATAGACATTCCAGAGTTTAAAATTACAAGCTAATACTATGATTATAGACACAAAAATCCTAACAGAATATTATTAAATCAAACCCAGTACTGCATAGAAAGGATAACATAGTCACAACCAGGTGAGAGTTATCTCAAGAACACAGGTTGGCCCAACATTTGAAAATTAAGTGATGTACATTATTTCACCATACTGAGAGATAGAGAAAACTGTATGATATCTCAGTTGATACACAAAAAAGCATTTGACAAAATTTAACTATTATTTAAAGCTCTTAATGAACCAAGGGTAGAGGCATTTTCCCCAGTCTGATAGAAGGCATCCATGAAGATCCCCAGCTAACAGAAGGCAGTGCCGAAAGCCTTTGCCCTGTGATGGGGAACCAGGCCAGCTGCCCCTTGTCCTCATCCCTCCCAGCATCTTCCTAGAGGCCCTCGACAGTGCCACAGTGTGGAACAGAAGGTGTGGCCCCTGAAGGCAGAGAAAGGCAGAAGATGACTCACCTGTCTGCATAGAGGCTGCACAGAGACCTCTCTAAGGAGCTCCCAGAAGCCATGGGCTAGTAAATGGATTCAGCTGGTCATAAGAGACAGGGCAACATGAGAATGAATTTGATTCCCATGTCATACTTCTACCCATTGTACTATGCACAACAATCGCACAACAAAGAAACGATGATACACTTTCAACATGTGTGATGAATTATAGACATGAGCGTAAAAGTTGCACAGTAGAAACTTCAAAAAGAGCATACAAGAAAATATTCACGATAGCTACAACAAAATGGTTATGCACTTGGAAAAATGCATTTATCTGCTACTCACCATACATGGCAATTAATTCCAAATGGATTAAAGTCTTAAATTTAAAACTATATAATGTTTTATGGAAAATATAGGTAAATAGCTTTTGAGTAGGAGAAGTCACAAAAAAAAAAACTATAAAAGAAATAAATGGACCAACCTGGCTGTATAAAAATTAGGAACTTAAATCCCTAACTCCTAAAGAAGAAAATGAAATACAAGCTAGAACCTGGGAGTGTGTATACATATGTATATATGTATAGGTGAGCATTATATATGTGTGTATATATGACTGGTTATAAAACCACATGAACACCAACGAATCAATAAGAAAAAAATAACCCAACAGGAAAATAGGCAAAACATGAACAGGCAGAAGAAGACATACATAAGCCAAGGAAATAAGAAGAAATACTCTACTTCATCAGTAATAAAGAACATGCAAGTCAAAAGTACAGTACGGTACATTTGGTTGGCAAAATTCTAACATCTAAGCAGCCTACGTGGGCGAGGGTATGGGCCCATAGGATCACTTACGAACTGCTATGGGAATGGGAGTTGGCATGAGCAGGTTGAAAATAATTCAGTAGTTTTCCTGTACAGGTCACCATCAGCACAGCCTGAGTCCCAGCAGTCCCACTTCTAGGTATAGCTAAGTAAAGCTTGCACACTCACACTGGATGTGAAAGCGTTTAGAGAACTGTAGAACCAACACAGTGTCCACCAGACGAGAACAGATGTAGTAGGAAGTGCTCATGACAGAATGTTACACAGCGGCGAACATCGTGAAGTGCTGTGACCCAAAACAACATAGAGATCTCTTAGCAGTAAGTGTTAAGTGAAAGAGAGTATATATTGTGGTATCCTATTAATAAAACTCAAAAACTGCCATATATTGTACAAGCAATTTATAAAATTTAAAACTAATTTTTAAAAGGCAAAGAAGTGACAACTACAGAAGTTGGTATCCCAGGAGGGGCAGGTGAGCACCTAATAATCACACTCCAGGGTGGGGCTGGGGGGCTTGGTCCCAGATGCTCATAGGTCATTACCATTAATTTACTTACTTTCTGGACATTGAAATTAGACTTTTAAACTCAGGAGCACAACTCCTGATTTAAAAGAAATCTATGGTGAATCTTTTAAAACTACTAATTAGCCGACCGGGGATTTAGCTCAGTGCTGCCGCCTCCCTCGCAAGTCGAAGGTCCTAAGTTCAATCCCCGGTACCAAAAAAAAATACCAATTAGCCCCCAAATGTACTGGTTTCACCCAACTGTTAGTTATAGAAATGGCAAGACCAGACACGAGCCATTTCTGCCGAGCCTTTGGGCCTGTCCACTGATGGCCACAGGCGTTAAACCTCACAGTGTCTTCCGAGCAGCCTGAAGGGATGGTGACAGACACAGGCCAGGCCTGATCCCTCCCCTCCCAGGTGTCCAGCCCTGGATCTGGCCTTTCGGAGGGCCAAGGGGACGGCGTGGACTCAGAAGACTCCTCAGACCTCGTTTGTGCCTGTCTTAGCAACTGCCATGTGGCTTTATTCTTGGGTCTCCTTTCTCCCAGAAGCGGACGAATGCCAGTCTCAGCCCTGCCTGAATGGGGGCTCCTGCCAGAGCCACACCTCGGGGTACCACTGTCTCTGCAGTGCAGGGTACGAGGGAGCCCGCTGCGAGCTGGGTAAGAGGGCTGGCCCACAGGGTGGCAGCGGAAGACGTGGGCCCCTGGCTGTGGCCACCTTGCCAGCCGCTCTTCCCCCTAGACAGCACTGTCTGGACAGCCGGCTCGGCCACGGCTTGCTCCCTCAGGCTGCTCTCAGCTCTGATGAGATCTGCAAACATCTCTGCCTCCTCCAGCCAGGGAGGTGAGCAGGTTTTGGCCCTGACCGCTGGCCTGGTACTGCCCACCAGCGGAGGGGAGGCCTGCTCAGCATGTGACTGCTGGACCTGCCCTCAGTCCTTGGTGCTGAATGTGGCCTGCTCCCTGAGACAGAGATGCTGGCCACCGGGGAAGGCGGCTTGGCACTGTGTCCATTTGTGCAGGAGCAGCCTGGGCATGGGGCCCTGCTGCAGGAGCCAGTTTGGGGCCCAGAGTACTGACCCCAGGCTGAAGTCTCGGGGCCACAGAATCCCTGGGACGGGCAGGGGCTCTGGGTCCAGTCAGTGAGGTGCCTTGTTGTGCAGAAACAGATGAGTGCCGGGCACAGCCCTGCAGAAACGGAAGCTCCTGCAGGGACCTCCCGGGGGCTTTCATCTGCCAGTGCTCCGCAGGCTTCGTTGGAGTCCACTGTGAGACAGGTAGGGCTCCCCTTGGGTGTCTGGACATGCAGAGCCCAGGCTGCAGGCAGACAAACCACCCAGGGAGAGGGGCACCCAGGGCCGTGGCTGCCTCAGGAGGAGGGAAGCTGCCCTCTCCCCTCCAGCCTCTGTCCTCGCTGTCCTATCCCTTCTTCTGCTGTCCCCTCCCCCCTCTCCCAGAACCCCCTGCCCAGCTCGGGCCAACTCTGGCTGTTCTCCAGAGGTAGACGCTTGTGACTCCAGCCCCTGCCTGCATGGAGGCCACTGCGAGAATGGTGGCGGGGCCTACCTGTGTGTCTGCCCGGAAGGCTTCTTTGGCTATCACTGTGAGACAGGTAGGGGCGTGGGCGCTCCCCAGAGCCGCTGCCTGAGAACCGTGGCCCTTCCCCTGCTCCTCTTGGCCCATGATGGTGCCTCCACTCACCTACGGAGCTCCCTCCCCAGGGAGCCTGCCTCGCCCCCGCATGCCCAGGCCACGGCCCCCCATCCCCGGGACAGGCCACGCTCCTCACAGCCCCGGATCCCGTGCTCTCCGCCCCTCCATTCCTGGCCTCTCACCCGCAGTGGATCCCTCCCACCCATCTAGCGTTCCCTGTGCCACTCCAGTTGCCCTGGAACTGCCTCTTCCCCACGGAGCCCACCTGCTAGGGTAGGAGCCCCTGGGGTGGGGCCCAGGATGTGCTGAGGCCGGGCCAGGCACAGGCACAGGCACTGTCACGGCACCATCCCCACACCCACCAGGCAAGGGCCCCCTCGAAACCCTACACTCTCTGCTCCTCCTCCAGTGAGTGACCCCTGCTTCTCCAGCCCTTGTGGAGGCCGCGGCTACTGCTTAGCCAGCAACGGGTCCCACAGCTGCACCTGCAAAGTGGGCTACACGGGCAAGGACTGTGGCACAGGTGAGGCGGTGAGGCACCTATGTGAGGAACAGGCAGCCGGGGTGCGTGACTCTCCTTCCGCAGGGCCCGCGCAAGAGCAGTCCCCAGGGCAAGGGCACAGGCGACACTGACCCAGCTGGGCCAGTGCATCAGCAGAGCCAGGGTGCAGAGGCAGGAGCCTCCAGGGGGCTGGTGGAGGCGAAGGAAAGGAACCCGGGCAGGAGAGGGCTCCCTGACTGCAGCAGCCCGGCTGCCTAACCCCAGGGACCAGAGAAGGCACCTGATGAGCCGGGCTCCCCAGCGGACAGCTGACCATGCCCTTCCCTTGTGTCCTGGCCGGAACCCTGAAGAGATCCTCCCACCAACGGCCCTCAGGGTGGACAGAGTGGAAGAGAGCGGGGTCTCCATCTCCTGGGACCCCCCCGACAGCCCCACCGCCAGGCAGGTGCTGGATGGCTACGCAGTCACCTATGTCTCCTTCGACGGCTCCTACCGCCGCACAGACTTTGTGGATAGGAGCCGCACCTCGCATCAGCTGCGGGCCCTAGTGCCTGGCCGGGCCTACAACATCTCTGTCTTCTCGGTCAAGCGCAACACCAACAACAAGAATGACATCAGTCGGCCAACAGCGCTGCTCACCCACACACGTGAGTGGCACCAGCCCTCAGGGAGGGGCCTGGCAGGCACTGCTCTAGGAGGGGCACGAGCAAGGACATCAGGGACAGGAAGGAGGGCAGTGTGGCAGGCGGCTGGCCCTGCAGCTTTCCTGAGTGAAAGGGACTGAAGCTGCTGGGGGCTCTGCACTGGGCAGGCATGGTGGAGGGAGGGCGGTGGGGAAAGGAGGCGCCTTCCCTAGCTCTGGGAGTATTCCAGCAAGAGTGCCATTGCTGGGACACCCTCCTGGAGCTGTGGGCCCGGACCCCTGAAACTGCAGAGCAGCTGAGGGCTTCCCTGGGCACACCAGAGTGGGGTCGCCAACAGGAGACCAGATGTGTGAGAGGGACACTCCATGCCCACCCACTGGGGCTGAAGGCTGCAGTTGGGCTCTGGGGCCAGTCCTCTCCAGTGTCTGTGCAGTAGCACCAGACACACAAGGAACTGAAGTCACATGTGCCCCTTCCCTGTAGTCCCCAAGGACGCTGCTGTTTCCAGCCTCTGAGCCAGCACTGTCCAACCATGCCCAGGTGTCTACTGCTACGCCAAGCAGCCAGCACAAAGAAAGGGGCGTGCCTGGGTCAACTGGGCTCAGAAAGCCCCCCTCTGGCATATCCCTGTCACATCTAACGTGGGTCAGAGACTCGGCCTGGCTCTGGGGCCCTGGCTGCCCTGGAGCAGTGCCCATAGTGGCTGTTCTGCAGCTACCACCCCCAGAGGGGGCACCTGGACACCACCCGAGTCCCTGCTGGGTGGCTGAAGGGTGCCTCTCTCCTGTGCTTCTCTGGGACCCCTGCACCCTGTGGACCCTTGTTTTGTCTTGGGGCCCCTCCCCTGGGAGCAAGGAGGACCAGCATCTGCTGAGCACCCTGCTGTCCCCAGGACCCCACCCTGTGGAAGACTTCGAGGTCACCAATGTAACAGCCAACGCCATCTCGGTGCACTGGGCTCTGCACAGGATCCACCACACCACCGTCAGCAGGGTGCGCTTGTCCATCCTCCACCCAGAGGCTCCTGAGGCCCAGGCCACCGACGTGGACAGGAGTGTGGACCAGCTCACATTCGGGTAAGCAGAGATGCCAGGCTTCGTGCTCCCTGTGTCTGTGCACCTGCTGCCCCCACCTGGATGGGGCTGGGGCCCAGGGAGCCAACCTCAGCTCTAGGGTTCGTCCAGGGCCCCACGATGGACCCTGTGTGGTGGCCACCAGCCCGAGAGGAAGTCGGAGCGGGCAGTGCTGGAGGAGAGAGGAGAGGTGGGAGGGTTCTGGTCAGCAGCTCCCTGTGGTTCCTACAGTGCCGCGGGCTCAGGGTGAAGTGAAGGAGAGGAGGTGCTCTCTGACGGGAGCCCCTTGAGTCAGCACAGGGGCTGCTGTGTGAAGAGCTGAAACCGACAGACTCTGATGGAGTCCAGTTACCAAACAGTCATGTTTGCAGTGCAGCGGTTGGGAGGCAGAGGCCCCTACTTCCTCCTTCACTGTCTCCACCAGAACCTGCTGCCCCCTGTCTTGATTCACACGCTAGCCCCGTGATGGCGAACCTTTTAGAGCTTTTAATGATAACAAACAGCAGTTGCGACATGCATGCTGTAGGTTCACAACCACGGTCCTAGCCTCCTCCAGAGAACGGTCTAAGGTGGCCTACAGAAGATTCCGGGGGGCCCCGGGAGCGTGTATGTCAGCTGTGGTGGTCCCAAGACACCCCAGCTAGGTTCACCAGGAGCGCTCAACACAGAGTGGCTCCCACAACGAAGACCCACCACAGAGAGGGGACAGGGTGAGCTCCAGGCCCCTCCTCAGGGACCTGAGCCGTCAGCCCTGCAGCCAGGCTACTTCAGGGCTGGTGACACAGCACCCGATGCCGGTGCACATGGAAATTCCAGGCCCCAGGAGGGTCTTAAGTGTGAACCACAGTGTCTGGAGACAGTTCAAGCACAGGGAGCCTCTCTCACCCACAGGGCAGTGGGGACCCCCTAAGTCCCTGTCCCCAGACACAGCTGCAGGCTGGCCATGCAAACCTGTACAGTGATCTTGTCTGTTGCCCTTTTGCTGGCCTTGCCCCTCTGACCACACTCTGGCTGCCCTCAGAGCACCAGAGCCTTGTTGACCCTCGACTAGACACCAGGCCTCATGGAGCAGCCTGGTCCCCAGCGTCAGAACACCCCCTGCCCTGGTCACAGAGCTGGCCACAGGCCCCACACATCCCTGTCCTCCTCCTCCCTCTTGCAGGGCCCTGCTGCCAGGAAGGAGATACACCATGTGGGTGGCTGCCCTCAGTGGGCCGGGGGAAGCAGAGCGGCTCACCGAGAGCCGGGGCTCGGCACCGCTGCACGTGTGGACCCGTAAGTAGGCAGCGGCCCCCATGTTCACATGACGTCCTCCTAGTGCTCTGGCCTCCTCCTCCTCCAAGTGGCCATGTGCCAGGAACCTACCCCTGGCCTTCCACGGTCCCTTCCCATTGGCCACCAGGAGGGGCTGAGAGCACACCGGGCTGAGGATGCCCCTGGGACCGTGTGGCTGGCTCACTCTGCCTAAGCTCCCTAGCATCACCAGCCCACAACCTGCCCCACCATGTGGGGCAGGAACGGGTACACGGAGAGGGATGTCACGGCGGATCCATGAGGAGTAATGGTCTGTACAGGACCTCCCGCATGGGGAAATGGTGCCCCTTGGACACAGCACCTCGGGGAGGCAGTGGAAGGCCCGTGTGGCAGGGACTCCTCCCAGTACAGCCTCCTTTGTCCTGTCCCGCCATCCCAAGACTGTCCAGCTGTCCACAATAACCAGATCTGGCATCCAGGGAGGCCTCAGGGAGGCCTATGCTGTGTCTCCTTAAGACGCCCTCCACCTGTCCACTTCTCTCTGCTGCCCACGCCTTGTCCAGGGCCCCTGCCGCCTGCAAACCTGACTGCCGCCCGTGTCACAGCCAGCTCTGCCCACGTGGTCTGGGATGCCCCCACACCAGGAGTGTTGCTGGAGGCTTACGTCATCAACGTGACCACCAGCCAGAGCACCAAGAGCCGCTATGTCCCCAATGGGAAGCTGGTGTCCTACACAGTGCGCGACCTGCTGCCTGGGCAGCGGTACCAGCTCTCGGTGACAGCTGTGCAGGGCACAGAGCAGGGCCAGCTGCACAGTGAGCCTGCGCACCTCTACATCATCACGTGTGAGTGCCCTGCCAGGTGGGGTGGTAAGCTGGGGTGTGGGCCCTGTCCAGGACCCTCACCTGAACTGAGAAGAGGCAGCGTGGAGAAGCCTGTGTGTGTGGCTCTCTGTACGCGGGAAGGGGCGGGCTCATCCATGGGCACTGACAGTCTGCATAAGCAGGCATGCCCAGCCTCCCCTACACTGTGCCCCTGCACTGCACCCAAGCAGGTGGGGCAGGGAGCACAGGGTATCACCCTGCAGCAGGTGCCAAGTGGGCAGCATGGGGAAGACCCCAGAAGTGACCTTGCAGCCTGCCCTAACCCACAGGAGCTGTTGGACATGAGCATGGAGAGGGACCAGGAGGCCCAGGGCCTGGGAGGTGGAGAAGTGCTCTGCACAGCAGAGGAGAGCAGCTGGACACAGGGCTGAGGAGACCCCTAAGCACCAGCATCTGTTCCCCAGGCAGAGGGGCCCTGCCAATATCCGCCAGTGTCCCACACGCTCCTGACTGCATTCTCAAAGCTGCTGTGAGAACGTTGGTCTGTAGGGTCAGAACAGGGCAGGAGACACGTAGGCCCAATGCAGAGATCAGAGCCTGAAGATGGAGGGGCTCCCTCCACTCCCCGGCTCTGTCATCTCCCAGTGTGGCTCCAGGCAGACCTGCTGGATGGAAAGGCAGGCTGGGGCTCTGTGGCCCTCACTGGCCAGGGCGAGGGGACCAGGAAGCACCTGGCCTGGGAGCTGCAGGACACCCAGGGGTGATGGACCATGCCCTCCCTCGGCCTGTGCCAGGGAGGGACCTCGGCTGAGGCAGCTGCCAGGAATGCTGAGTGGACCAGGTGACCTGGGCCAGGTCCTGTGTCCAGCCAGGGCTTGAATGCAGAAGGGACACCATGGGTGATGTGGCCTCTCAGGCGGAGAGCAGCACCTCTCCCTCCCCAAGCAGGAAGAGTGAGTGTGGGCCGGGAAGCCCAGGCCAGCCCCGGGCCACTGTCTTCCACCTGCCTGCTCTGCAGCCCCCAGGGACGGCACCGACAGACGCTGGCACCAGGGAGGACGCCACCCCCGGGTGCTCAGGAACAGACCGCCCCCCGTGCGCCTGCCGGAGCTGCGCCTGCTCAGCGACCGCAGCAGCCCTGAGACCCTGACCCGGCCCCCCAGGTACCCGCCCCCCCCCCGCCACCAGCCCGTGGAGCAAAGGTGCTCAGCCTCCGTGACCGGCACCTCATGCTCTTGCAGGTTCCTGGAGCTCGTGGATGGAAGGGGACGAGTGAGCGCCAGGTTTGACGGCTCACCCAGCAAACCGATCACCTCGAAACCACGTGAGTACTGCAGCCTACCTGGGACAGACTCACTGCCACTCGCCCTTGCCCCATACAACCTGGGGATAAAGGTCCCCAGCACCCAACCCTGTCCCCAGCCAAGGCTTTGGGAGGGACCAGCTGGTACAGAGCCTCCACCCGGTCGGCATGTGGCCAGAGACACAGGCTGCAGACAAGGCACACCAGGGAAGTGAAAATAAGGCCTTTAGAAGCAGGCGCAGTCTACTTGCCAGGACAGGACTCCACGTTTTGTAAGCACACAGTAGACAGTAGGCTGTGGCAGTCTTGCTTTGCTACTCAAAGTCTTGTCATTGGACCAATAGCCTTGCCTGAGAGCTCCCAAAAGTGCGGAACCCAGCCAGAGCTGCCGCCTTATATGAGGGTGATTCACGTCAAAGCCACTGTCCCAGAAACCTAAGGCTCAGCTCAGTTAAGAACTCCTGTTCTGGAAGCAAAGTCCCAACCAGTGGGGCCAGCTGGAGCAGATCCCTGGTCTCTCCACCCTGCCCAGGACACGTCCAACTCCAAGTACTGTCCCCACCAAGGTCGGCCCAGCAGCACCAGGCATATGGGCCCAGATGCCCAGACCCTTCCCACTGGGCTCACCTGGTGGGCCCAGGGCTCTGCCCGTGATTCTGACGCAGAGGTCCCAGCAATCCCTCCTCCCACCTAGGCCCAGGCACCTGTTCTCATAGTGCTCCTCAGCAGAGCACTCGATCACCCATGCAGTGAGTCTCCAAGAGGAAGAGGGGAGGGCAGAGAAGGAAGAGGGGAGGGCAGGGGGCCAGGCCCTAAGACATAAAGGGAACAGAGCCAGGTGTCTGGGGACAAGGGCTTCTTGGGCTGCCTATGGGACATCCAGCGGTGGGCAAAGCTCGTTGGACTTGCAACCATGATGGCAAATATAAAATGCTTAGGGACACAGGTGAGGACTGGTACAGGTGACTTGCAGTGGGGGGCTGGGAGTGCAGCCTGCACAGAATGGCGGCAGAGGAGGAGGTGGTGCACCCCCAGGACCAGGGGATGGAGGGACAGAGAGCGGATTTGACCCCTGGAAGGAGGGGCCATTGCATCCGCAGTGAGAAGGGTGGGGCCTGGAGAAATGGCCACTGGAGCCTCCCCAAAGCGCCAAGGGTGGGTCCTGCTGCCAGGTGGCAAGAGGGTGGGGCCTGCTCCTCCACAGCACAGGAGGATGGGTGGGTGGCAGCGAGCTGCTCGAGAGGGCCACCCTAGGACAGGCCTCAGCACAAAGCAGCTGCTGTGTGCTCACCCCAGCTCTCCCAGAACCCACCAGCTTGCCACTGGAGAACACGGAGGCGGCCCTGGAGCAGGTCCACCTGGTCCTCCCGCTCCCTGAGCGCAGCGACAAGGACAGAGAAAGTAAGTCAGCACAATTCAGGGACTGGGGGCTGCCCGCACTTGGGTCATCGGTGAGGAATCCCATGTCAAGGGGTCTAGAGCCACGGGACCTGTCCAAGGGGCAGCCAAGCACCCCTCCTGGAGCGGGCAGGGCCAGCCACACCACCCAGTGAGCAGGCTGGGGCAGGACCCACCCAGTCCACCCAGGTCTGCATTGGAAGGTGGCCTCCCCATCAGCTGTCCTCCCCCTGCCCACCGAGCCCCACACCTTCACTTCTCTAGGGGGCAGTGTTCAGTGAGGAAGGTGGGAATCAGTGGAGGGAGCACGCACAGTGCGAGCCCGGCCTGAGGGACACCCACCCAAGCTGGGCCAGCACGTGGGCCCTGCAGTGCCTGCACTGTCCCTGGTCCAGTACTCTGCCTTGTAACAGCCATGGCCAGGGAGGCCTCCAGGGAGGCTTTTCCTCTGTGGACAGCATGATAGATGATGCCCTGTACACAGTCAGATTCTGGCCCTGCCCAGAAGGCTCTGCTAGGACCAGTGGCCCTTTCTCCTGAGTCACACCACAGGCTCAAGCTGGGCTCACCCATCATCCTGACCCCAAAGAAGGCCGAGTACACTGAAGGGCATGAGCCCAGAGGATGGTCCCCCAGGGCAGCTGCAGTAGCAAAGAGGGTGTTTGCAAATGCTGGCTCCACTGCCAGCAGCCTCCCCTCACTGCAGGAGGGCTCACCAACTCTTGGCTCAAGAGAGGCAGGAGGGCAGGCCAGCGAGCAACCACCAAGGAAGACGTCCTTCACAGCTCACCCTGCGTGCACACTCACGGTGCTGGTTGAGTGCAGCAGAGCAGGCACCCATCAGATGGTGTGCATTACATCAGCCTAAGTACTGGTGCTCGACTTCATTGAACTGAGAAATACGGACACCAGCTGCTCCCCTTGATCCCCTCGCTGGCCCCAAGCTCACTGCAAGCCTGTAGTGTGTGCCAGCGTGTGGCACACAGGCTCTCGAGGGGTGCGGGATGACCACATGGTGGGCAGGGAAACCTGAATGTGGCCTAAGTGCTGATTTGTCACCATGGCCCTGTGGTTAAGCCACAGGTCCTCAGGTGTAGACACCCGAGGGGCTTACAGGAGAAATGCTATCTGTGAACTGCTCTGCAGCTCTTTAACAGGTGACGGAAAGATGGGAATGCACAAAAGAGACGAGGTAAAAGCTGAGTTACTCAGGTTCTTCACAGTTAACATGTGGTAGGGTTAAGAATAATTAATAAAGGGTTATTCGGGCCGGGGATTTAGCTCAGTGGTTCTACCGCCTGCCTCGCAATCGCAAGGTCCTGAGTTCTTTCCCCAGTATGGAAAGCAGGGGGGTCTTTTTTTTTAAGCCCACAATTCATTTTAAGCACAAAAGAAACCCCTGTAGCTGGGTATGGTGGCACATACCTGTAATCCTAGATTTCTGGGAGGCTGAGGCAGAAGGATGGAAATTTCAACCCTAGCCTGGGCAATTTAGCAATTTAGCAAGACCAGCTAGGAATGGTAATGCAGGACTGTAATCCTAGCACTCGGGAGCCTGAGGCAGAAGAATTGCTCCAATTCAAGGCCAACCTGGGCTACGTAGCAAGCCCTAGTCTCAAAAGGGGGGCGGGGTATAGCTCAGTGAGAAGTCCCTGGGTTCAATCCCCAGTGATCCAGTAATGAAGAGAAAAAGAAAAGCCCCAGAGGACAAGATATGGTGGCGGCCGGGGGGGGGGGTAGGAATGGTGGGGAACAAGGGAGCCGTGACCAGCAACAGCTTCTGAGGCCTGCCCTGGCACCCTGGGACTGGTCCTTGGGGTCCCGTGAGCCCAGGCTGGGGGAGGACCAGATTCCACACTGAGGGAGACTGAACTGGATGTGGTGGGCAGAGCGTAATTCTCATTCTATCCTTTTCAATGGTTTTTAAGCTAAAACACAAGTCAAGAGATGTGTTGACCAAGCTGAAACAGGACAAAAGCTAAGGGCAGCAGGTTCTCTGAGGGGCAAGGCCAGGCTGTCACAGTGTGGTGGGGACACACAGGGTGGTGGGCAGACGGCCGCCCACAGGGCACGGACGCGAGCACAGAGGTCTGCCTGGGCTGGCCCCACAGGGAAGACGCCCCTGCCCCGAAAGCAGTGATGTGCGGACAGGGCCTCGGGTTCCAAGCAGAAGCAAGCCTGGGTAGGGGCAGAGTCAGCAGACGAGCAGGGGCATGTGGCCAGGGGCTCAGCACGGACGCCCAGTGGACTCTACCCCTCCTCCTTCCTTGAAGTCAGAGGTCAGGCCCAGGCTGTGGAAGCTGCCTCCTCGCAGTGCCCTCTCTGCACACACCTGGCATGAGACCAGCCTCCGGGCACCGAGAGGTAGGTCACCTAGAGGGCAGCCTGCATGCTGGTAGCTGACTTCCCCCAGCTGTTTCCAGGTGCCCTGGGAAGCTGCTCAGAAGAGGCCTGTCACAATGGAGGCACCTGCGTGCCTGGCACCGACACCTACAGCTGTGACTGCAGGCCGGGGTTCAAAGGCAGGCGCTGCGAGCTTGGTAAGTCAGGGCTGGCCATGGAGCAGGGACTGGGACTTGGTCCTGGCATGATGGGCACAAGTGGGCTTGCTTGGGGGAGGGGCCCGGGTCCAGAGGCTGATGGCAAGGACCTCTGAGGTGACCAGGAGCCATGGGGGACTGGACAGCCACCAGAGCACCAGGATGAAAGGTGCTGCCACTGAAAGGTGAGTGAGGCCTGACAGCAGCAGCCACAGCACAGCACGGCTGCAGGGCAAGAGTAGAGGTGAGGAGCAGAACCTACAGGAGGACAGGCTCCACGTCTGGACTGAATGCCACGGGTGGCCATCCCACCCTGTTATACCATCCCAGGGCCACTGGCTGCAAGGTCAGCCCAAGCCAGGGTGACTCCTGTGGGCACTGAGCACCCCTGGGGACAAGGCCTCTGTCCCAGGAAGCAGGAAGTACAGAGCCCAAGGTTCCCCCAAGGGAGCTTCATGAGGGGCGGGAAGAAAGCTCTGCTCTGACCCAGAGCTTCTTCCTAAACACCTACTTGCCCCTCTGTGCCCACAGCCTGTGAAAAGGTGCCTCGCCCCTGCACGAGGCTGTTCTCAGAGACGAAGTCCTTTCCAGTCTGGGAGGGAGGCGTCTGCCGCCGCGTGTAAGTTGTCTGCCCGCAGCCTCACCCCGCAGGGGAGAGCTCCACTTCCCCACTGCTTTCTGACTAACCTGAGGCAGCAAGCCTGAGTAACTCCACGCATTCAGCCCCCTCTCCCACATCCCGGGCCCCACTGGACACCGGGCTACCTCCACATGGACATCAGGACTGACCATCCCTTCCCTTCCTCAGACCCCCCCCGGAAAATAGACGGCACATGAGACCCCCGGTCCCAGTTCTGCCATTGCTCACAATGAGCCCTGGGCAAATCACTCAGGCTGCTTCCCCATCTGTACAGCGGGCTGTGGAGGGAGAGCTGCCCAGCTCATTTTGGGGACCACTGTTGCTGACATCTGTGGCTCGGTCGCACTCACAGAGGCTTCAGCTTCAGAGCCCTGACTGACCACGTGCAGTACACTGGCTGCTCCAGGCCCCGGGGCAAACAATGAGCAGCAAGACGCTCAGTGCAGACGCAGGACAGAGCCTGAGAGCAGGCATGCTGAGCAGAGTGCTAAGAAGAAGGGAGAGGTGAGGCTTGGAGAGCCACGGTGGTCAGAGTAGGTCCCACGGAGGAGGTGACACTGCACAAACACGGACGAGGTGGGGATCTGGGAGAAGAAAGTTCCAGAAGGTCAGACTGTCCATCCCCAAGGCCCTGCCTCCCAGCATCCCCAGTGTGTCTGAGAAACCGTGCAGGGGTCAAGCAGGGCTGAAGCCAGTGAGACGGAGTGGTGGGAGGGGAGGTGACCCTCAGAAGGACCGTGGCATTTGTTCTCCACAAAATGAGGGGTTGCTGCAGGCTTCTGAGCTGAGGAGAGATGTGTGATTACATCTCACCAGCCACACTGGGTGCTCCGAGGAGGATGGGAAGGGGGCAAGCAGGAAACTTCAGGCGCTCAGAACAGGCCAGGTGCCATCACAGCAGGAAAATCAGGAGCCTCTGACCCAGGCAGCGCTCCCAAGTGTGACCCTGGGCTCTACAGTGACTGTCCATGCGCACAGCTCCTTCCCCCTCCCACCCCACTGGCAGCACTGGCAGGGAGCTGCTGCTGGGCTGCACCCCAGGGCCTGCTAGGGAGAGCGCTGCTCCTCCTTTCCTTCCCACTCATCTGCATGTCCGAAGTGACCTTGGATTTAGCTGATAGCTGAGTCTTGCCTTACATCCAGTCTGACAACCTGCATTCAACCTGCGTTTATCAGAAAGTTTAGGCTGTTTATATTGCACTTGGCATAATGGCTGACATGGCTGGGTTTAAATTCACCATATTTCTATTTGTCCCATCTGCTCTTTTTAAATTTTTCTTTTCCTGCCTAATTTTTGATTATGGTTTAGGATTCCATTTTACCTTCACTGGCTTACTGATGATACTTCTTTGATGTGGGTTTGTTCAGCAGTTGCTCCAGGACTTCAACACATATCTTCAGTTACTAGCGTCCACCGTTAGTGTCATGGCGCATTCTTACAATAGCAGAGGTTCGCTTCCCACATCATCTGAATTATCACTAAGCTTTCTACTTCCACATATGCTGTGGACGTCACAGTATTTTAACTTTGTTCTCAACAGTTATCTTTTTTTAAGTAAAGTCTTTTGCATTTACTTGTATATCTGCCACATCTAATACTTGTATGGACCTTCTGTCCATCTGGTATTACTTTCCTTTGCCTGAACAACATACAGTAACATTTCTTACAGCACAGGTCTGCTGGTAATGAATTCTCTGCTTTTGTTTGCCTGAAAAAGTTTTTACCTCACTTTCATTTTTGAAGGAAAGTGAACTAACTGTAGAATCATTGGTTGATGGTTGTGCCTTTTCTTTTAGCACTTTAGCGATGTCATTCCTTAGTCTTCTGCCCTGCAGTTTCAGACAAGGCTGCAGTCCTGCTCACCTGGGCTGCACTGTACCTAATGTGTCTGCCCCACCCCATTGCTGCTTTTACATTTTCTCTTTATTACTATTTCTGGCCAACTTAAATATGATATGCTTTGCTATGGGTATGTTTTTACTCTCTGAAACTTATCCTTTTTATACCTTTGGGGGTTTAGATTTTTGTCCAATTAGGAACATCAAGGCCATTACTTCTTATATTTTTTGTCCTTCCATTCCTACTCCTCTCCTTCTGGAACTCCAAGTGTGTTAGACTGATATTGTCCCATAGATCACTGTAGCCTTTTCACTTTTTGGAAGAGTGCTGGACATTTTGGACAGATTTTACTGCTGTGTGTTCAAGATCAATCTTTTCTTCTGCACCTCTAGTCTGCCATTATTCCTATTCCAAAAAATCTCATTTCCGGCACTGAGTTTTATCTTTTCTAGAGTTTCATTGAATTCTTTGAGCCTCCGTTTTTCTCATTATGTTCACACTGCCCTTCCAGTCACCAAACATGGAGCACACGACAATGTTTTAGGGTCCTTGCCTGTTGTCATCGTTCTCTTTTCTTTGTCTTTTCTTCTCTCTCAATTATGGGTCCTATTTTCCTATGATCCTTTGAATGTCTTATAATTTTTCACCAGATCCTGAACTACAAAGTTTACATTACTGAGTGCTAGATTTTTTTCCAGATCATTTTTTTTTTTCCTGCAAGGCATTTTTTTAGTTTAGTTTGATCCTCTTGAGGCTTCCTCAGAGTAGCCTTATTCTAGGGTAGTTTTGCCCCTTGTTATTAAATGAGACCTGTCCACTCCAGCTGTAGTACAACACTGCTCCTTCTGTCCTTTTCACCCAGCCTTGTGGGTTCCACCGTGTGCATGCATAGCTCGACCTGCAGCCACAGGTTTGTGGGGCTGCTCCTTAGAAGAGTTCCCTCCTCTCCAGTACACTGCCCACAACTCCTACCCACCTGTACCTCCTCACTGCAATCTGTTTCCTCGACTCAGCATGACCGCTGTCCAGCTCCCTCTCTGCAGTCCAATCTAATGATGCTCCAGGCTGAACTGCAGGGTGACCACAGGGCTCATCTCATGTTTCTGTCTTCTAAGGGTCTGCAGTCTGTTTCTTAGGGTTGTTTGTTTTCTAACATCAGGAAATAGTTACTTTATATTAGTCAGCTTTCCCATTGCAGGAGCCAAATATCCAACATTCACAACACAAGGGAGGAGGTTTAATTTGGCTCATGGTTTCAGAGGGTTCAGTCCAGGGTTGGGAGGCTCCAGTGTAGAAGCATCATGGTGGAAAGGGGCAGTGTAAAGCCAAGCTGCTCAGGCCGTACTGGCTGTGAAGGTGGCAGAGAGGAGGCCGAGGCCCAGACACAGTACCCAGGGTCGCACCTCCTGACCCACCCAGACGTCCCTAGAAGTCTGCTTTACTCACCCCCAGGCAGCTCTGAGGCCAATCAGGTAGACATCCAGCTGGATAGCCACACTTCCTATTCTGTGCACACTGGGAATTCACCCTTGGAGGCACAAGCACCAGGCTTAACAAAGCTTCCACCAGACTCGGCATAAGTGACAGCACTGCCACCGAGCTACTGTATGGCTTAGACTCAAACCTCTTCCATCCGTGTCATCTATCAGCTTGTGAGAGAGGGGACAGGCAGGACTCCCACTTCACATAGCACTGAGACGTACAAGTCAAAGGGTCTTACTCAAAGTAGCCTGATTGATAAATGGAAGAGGAGGCTTGGAATCAAGTCTCCTGGTCCCAACTGTCCCCATCTGTAGACTTCTCGGTCTTCTTCATGAAATCCCCAAATGGACAAGAGTGGGGTCACCCCTTCCCAAGGCCTCAAAGTGGCCTCCTTCCAGCAAAGTCATGCCACATTGTAGCTTCTAATACCACACAGCTTTGTCAGCACTCATCCAAATGCACTCAAGGAAAAAAAAAATGCACTCGAAGGCTGGGGATTTAGCTCAGTGGTTCCAGCACCTTCCTTGAAATTGCAAGGTCCCAAGTTTGATCCATAGTACCAAAAAAAAGCACTCAAAAAGGGGTGTATCTTACATATATTATACTTAGTAAAGATAATGTTTAAAAACTCACATGACTTTTATATTGGACATTTGCATGTACTCACAGGAGGTAAGATTTTCAGGAAAATAGTAATCTGGCCCTCAAACACCTTGGTATTCACCTGTGGGTGGTCAGCAGAGCCTAGGCCAAGCAGCTGGGAAACATTCTACTTCGGTGTCTGGTTTCACTGAGCTCTCTTGTGACAACAGGTATAAAAGAGTCTACAAAACCCACCAAGATGTCTGCTTCAAAGAGCGCTGTGAAAGCATAAGCCGCGAGAAACCCCTAACAGGTACATCTCGGAACCCCGGCTGAGGCCTGCATGAGCTCACAAGGCAGTGAGCAAAAAGTGGTGATGGGGCTGGCAGAGCCAGGTGTCTGGGCCCTGAAATGCTCACCCTGCACAGCAGTGCCTGCTCAGAAGCCAGGCTGGGCATGAAGGCATGGGGAGTCTGCACACTCACACAGGCCATGGAGCCACAGTGACAAGGCGTGGTGTTGCCAATAGGTCCAAATGTGTAACCGCAGATACAGGAAACCCATTTACTGTGCTCGCACCTAGGTTCCTTCTCAAAGGGTCTGAGGTGGCCACAGAATTACTGCTGTTTGGGGTTTCACTGCTTTCACAGCGGAGTCTGATTCTCAGTTACCCCTCCATAGACATAGCCTTTGTTAGCATGACGGGGGACCAGGCAAAGCCTGCAGGGTGCCTCACCTAGGGCGCTGGTCCATCTCCCCAGGCAACTGTTGCCCGCCCTCTTCCACACCCTCCCCCACACCCTCCCCATGACACATATCCAGCCAGCTGCTGTCCTCTCCACCCATGGTGACTATCTGGAGCCAGGCAGGTGTCCCACACTGAAACGTCAGCCTGTGCACCACTGGAGCAGATGTGAGCAGCAGATGGCTCTAGCACCATCCTGGACAGAGGGCATGCATGGTAAAAGGTATATAAGTCTCTTCCTCCTAAAGCATTTTTCTTAATTATTTCAGGAAAAAAAGCAACAGTCAAACACTGAAGAAACCTTAAGGTATGTTACCCCACCAACCTGAGAGCTCTTGGCCAGAGGGAAAGGTGGGCTCACCTGCCCCAGGCCAAGCACTGCAGCTCCTCTTGGCTCTGCCACAGCAAGCAAGTAGGTGCTGCTGTTACAACCCTGAACAGAGGCTGTGGAATCCTGACCCACACCTCCCAGCAGGCATAACCTGGTCAGCCTTGGACATAGTTGTCTTCAGGTGGAAATAAGTCCCTCTCTCAAGGGGAAGGAGAGCAGCTACCATGGGGCCCCTCAAGGAGGCTGGCAACCTCCCAGAAGACCACCTGGACCCCTGGAGGGAGACTGGATCAGGTGGTGGGAGGGTGAGGGAGGCCAAGAACCCTAGGGGTGCCAGAAGAGCACCCTACTGCAAATGGGATTCTACTGGAAAGGAAATGGGGTGGGGCCTTAGGGGTCCTGAAGACAGCGGATGCTGTTATTCTACATATCATGAACCCTGAGATCAAAGAAATGCTACCTTTGTTTGATCCAGCATTTCCCAAACTCTTCTGGCAGATAAACCCCTGTACCACCCTCACTTCACGCCCACATGCTCTGCTAATTCCTAAAGAACACTGGTATTCACAAGAGTTTGGAAAATCCTGGGTGGAACCACAGAAACCCACCTGCAGCCTGTAGTCTGCTCCACACTCAACTTCTCAGCCACACCATGTCACTGGGATGAAAGCCTGATGGCCTCCAGCAGCTGCCTGTGCTGCCCCGGACAAGCTGGCCTTGCAGGGCAAGGGGTGCCTCTGTCAGGAGCCACCTTGGGCACAGTCTCCCTTCTCTCCCATAGCCAATGAGGTGAAGTGGAAATGTCACTCAAAGGCCATAGACCAGCCAGAAGCACAGGGGCTTCTGGGATTGTCTCATACCAAGGAGGGGTCCACATCAATGGGGGTGGGGGTGCAGCTCCACAGGCATCAGAAGAACAAGCTCTCAGAGAAGGCCTATGTGACAGAGTACCTAACCCAGCCAAACCGGTGCAGATATGAAGTCTGTCAAGAGCAACTGACAGCACTCAGTTCCTGTCCCCTCTCACTTCAGCCTCTAAAGACACACAAAGTACTCCAAGGTGTGCAAGCAATTCAATCCTGGTAGGGACCAAGAACTCACAAACATCCTCAGGGCTTGAAATATTTCTATGGCAGAGCACCCAAAATGTTAATGTGTATCTTTTAAAGACTCATCTAGCAAATGTTTCTATAAAAGCTATGCGAACCCCACAACTAATTATCCAATACTGACTTATAGAACATTTATTTTGAAACGATGAGGAAAGCATAAACAAGAAACAGAAATACATCCACCCAAAAATTCTTTTCAATCCAGAGCAGCCCCAGTGAAGAGACCCAGCATCACCAAGGGGAAGAGCGTGGAGGAGTAGCTGCCTGTGGTTCAAATGCAAGACTCGAGGCTGAGCCCACACAGCCCTGAAGTCAGGCCGAGCCCAGGCCTCCACTCCCATGCTGTCCTCCACACCACAGCAGGTTGGAATTCTGACTCTGGGAGAATATGGGTGCTCTGGGGGCAGTGCCAACAACCTCCGGAAGAAGGCAGTGGTGTAAAAAGGAAGGAGTGTGCTGTCCTGCTCCCCATGCCTGTTTTTCCTTCAAGGGATTTGGGAAGTGCTTGTCACACTCTACCCATCTCAAACGTTGCTAAAAGCAGAAAGATGAGGTCTAACAACTAGATCATGAAGAGCCCCAAGCCCCTTCTGTGACGTTCAGAAAACAGACAGCTGCACACACCAGCACACCTGGGCACTCCTCCAGTCCCAGTCACCTGTGAGGCCCTGAAGCTCCCGACTTAAGCCAGGACATGGTCTCCTGGAGGTGTACTCTGTACCAAGTGGAGATGGTATGCCGTACACCTAGGGTGGCAGGGCTCCTGCAGCACTCAGAAATTAGCCCTCAGACTCCAAGGTCGAGAAGCCTCCCTTGAGCCCTCACACATGGAGGAGACAAGACCTCAGCCAGCTTCCACAGCAGAGACCGGCAGGACGCACAGGGTGGACGTGAGGGAGCCCGCCCATTCCACGCCTCCAGGTTATGCTGTATGGACTGTGTGATGAAAACAAAATGTCAATCACTACTAAAGTGGAGTTTAGACCATTTTAGTCTACACCGGGGTTGGCACTTTTTCTTAAAGGTTCACGCGGGTTTTTTTGGGCTTTGCAGGCCTCTGTGGCAACCACTCGGCTCAGCCATGGGCACAAACAGCCACATTGTGCAACTGGATGGGCGTGGCTGTTCCAATAAAAATCTATTTACAAAAGCAGGTGGTGGCCAGATTGGCCCGTGATCTGAGGTAACCTAGGCTGCAGACTCTGGAGGAAACCACGCCCTGGATAAGTCACCACCAAAGCAAAAAAGACTCCACGGACACTCACAAGAAAGCTACCCAGACCCTCGCTCAAAAAGCCAGACCACACCCCAGCGGCCTCACTCATTTATAAAAACATTCTTTACAGTTGTATTTTAGGCCATCTATTTTTATTAAATTTTGTGTGCACATGTCTGTGTATTATGCAGTTTGTCATTTCCAAAGGAGGAACAGCCATAAAGAAATCTCTACTAGAAACCCAGCCTGGTCTTCAGAGAGCTGAGAGCAGACTGGTGAAGGGTGAACGGAGTGCGGAGTGACCGGGTCCACAAATACACATGGCTGACTTCCACTGAAGCACCAGGGTCTGTCCTGCCCACTCCACATAAGCTCCAGCAGCACTAGTGACTGGTAAAACGGACATTACTGAACAGCAGATGCAACTTCCTGTACCATGCCAGTGACCTCATGGCCCTCAGCCACTAGGCAAATGCAGATTTTGGGGTTTTGGTTTTTTTGGGGTTTTTTTGGTTTTTTGAGACAGGGTCTTGCTGTGTAATTCAGGCTGGCCTTGAACTATGTAGCCCAGGCTAGCCTTGAACTCATGGCAATCCTCCTGCCTCAGCTTCCTGTGTGCTGGGATTACCGGCATATGCCATCACACCTGGCTTTAATTTTTAGCTTAGAAGCCACTATATCTGAGCAAAAGACAGCTACTGGGTGCTGTGCGGTGTGGTCATGCGATCAACCCATTCTGATGTTTCACAAACAAAGGGTCCGATGCTGAGGTTATCACCATCATCTGGTCAAAGGAGCCACCACTGCTGTTCTCACATGTCCTTCCTAAGACTGATGTCCTCTCTGAAAACACTCAAAGTTCAGCCAGACAAATGAGTCAAAAGAGAATCCAAAAACTATCAAGATATAAAGATTTGCTTTTGTGCCAAAACAAAAGAAGCCATCATGAGTCATGGAGTTTACCATTCACTAATCAAAATGGGATGAGCTGACCATCTAACCAAGCTCAGGTTTAAGGGCCTACTCAGTCCTGCTCCCCAAGAACAACACCGAAGGTTCAGGGAGATGACAGTTACTTGGATGCCTCAAAGTGGAGGAGAAAGCAGGAACACAGGTACAGAGTGGGCATCTGCATCGTCTATTTTGCCCCTAGCCAGAAACAACCAGACGGACACTCTCCCCTCCCCCATCGACTGGGGGCTGCCAGGTGTAAACAGGATGCTGTTGCTGTACCTTGCCCCCATGGAGAGCCCAAAGGCAGGGGCCCCAAGTCTGCCAGCCTCCTGCAGTGCTGGCAAACTGCTGCCACCACGACTCACTCACAGGGGCGTCACAGAGCTACTGCTTCTCTTTGCAGTCCTGCTCCAACGTGAGCCTGCAAGAGTGCAGAATCCTCACAACAAAACACAGCTCAGATCTGCCAAGATCTGATTTTTAAATAGAAATAAACACAATTCTTGAGAATCCATTAACAACCCATGGGAAGCGGTCCCTGGACCAGGCCTTAGAGTGGGCTCACAGCTTTGGCACCATTTGGGGATGGATCACCCTTTGTCGTGGGCCCACCCTGTACATTGTAGGGTATTTTGTAGGATCCCTGGCCACTACCCACTATATCCTAGTAGCACTCCACCCAAGGGTCAAAGCTGTCTCCAGGTAAGAGCTGTGGCTTTACAAGATTCTTACGTGGTCTATGTGGGAAGAACAAGGCCAAGCATCAGCGGAGTTTCAGGTGGCTGTTAAAATGCCACCAAGTAGACTCAAATTTTGGTTACCAAAGATGCTTTCTGTAGCACCAGTTCTGTGCAGCTCCCCAAGGAAGGGGAATGTTCTAGGAGCCACCAGTCCTCAGGCTAAGCACTCTGCCATCAAAGCCAGGCCTAAGCACAGCCCCGAGCACAGCACAGCCCATCCCCATTCCCACCATCCCACACCACCCCGTGAGCCTACCACTCTCCCCAGTGTGAGGCCCACACTGGGTGTCTGGAGAGCTCCCTGGAATGAACTCACCATCAGTCCTGGGCCTGTGCTCTTGTCTGGTCCTCAGTGGCCCATCCATCACACGATAGGGGACGACTGAAGAAGAAAACTCTCCAACCCCTCCAGCCCTGGCACTCTCCAAGCCAGCACAATCTGGCAGCACAGGCCATGCGCCATAGACACCAGGCCTGTGAGTGACCGGTGCCCAGGGACAGACAGGGAAGTCAGCTTGCCTGAGCAGGAAAGGCCAGTTCTTCCCAGATTCGGTGTCTGTGCTTTACTGGCTTGAAGAAGCTGTGCAAAACTAAACACACATCTCTAATCAACTAACTGCCTTTTACTCTGTACACTGAATGCAATTAGGAAGGAAATAAATATTTTGGATTTAAAACAGGTATTTTTGTTGGAAACCTACTTGTTTTCATAAAATAAAGTGCTATCCTGTACTAAAATCTCATATTGCCTCATGATTCTATCTTTATCCTCTAAAGTAAATAGAGTGACTCTTGAACGAGAAGTCAGCACCTGTCTTTCACACATCGTGGACTTAGCATCGACATATTTTAACAGAGAAGAAAATCAAATTTGGATGCATTGAGTTCCCTTGATTTTAACAGCTCAGTATTTTATTTAGGATGGAATGGGGCCTCCCAACAGAGCCCCACAATCACACCAAAGCACCCCTATTTGGTTTGGCCTGTTTACATCTTCGGTGGTTCATATAATTCTTTCTTTCATCAAAGGTCAGTGTTAGTATGAAATACTTGGGAAGATCCAAGCAAGTGAAGCTCCCAAAAGCTTTGAGAATGAGAGAAAGTTCTTTGTGGTCCCTGGGCCCTATTGGCCTCAGTCCTCCATCACAGCTGTTCTTCATCTTTGTCCTCGTCCTCGTCCTCCTCCTCGTCCTCGTCCTCCTCCTCCTCCTCCTCCTCAGACATGCTGCTCTCAAGCTCTTCCTCCTCCAGAGCCAAGAGCTTTTTAAAAACCACAAATTCCTCAGCAGAGGAACAAGCTGTCTTGGCCAAAAACTCAGCCTCTGAAATTCGGAGAATGTCCTTGAGTAAAGGGTTTGCAATCTGTGTCTGCCCCTTCTTATCCGGTGTCTGGTACCGTCCCAGGCGCTCCAGGTAAACGTGTCTCTGCTTGATCTTGGTTAACGAGTACTTAAAGAACTCAGTCCTTACCACATCCACATGTTTAATTCCCATCCTAAAGTAGCCATACTGGAAGACACAAATATGTTTACAAATCCCACACACAGAATCTGAAAACCCTCATTCCACAATTCATAAAAATGTAAGCTGTCCAGCCCAGGGATTTAGCTCAGTGGTTTCGCTGCCTGCTGCGCAATCTCAAGGACCTGAGTTCGATCCCCGGTACCAAAAAAAAAAAAGAATTGCCTAATTAACTACAGAATATTCACTCTATGATACTAACATCTGTATGATAGCTGACAGTTTCAAAGCATTTTCAAATTCACTTTGAGAAAAATGCAGCAGAAAACAAAAGGCAGGAAAGAAAACTTATTTTTCTTTAAATGGAGAAAAGGAAAACTGAATATGGAAAAATAGGCAAAAAAATTCATAAGACATCTAGGAATTTGCCATAAGTAGACATAACTTACTAAAATATTAATATAATTGTCACAATTTTCAAAATCAACATGCAAAACAGGTTCTAAGGACAGGAAAACTTTCCTATTTCAGAGTTCCCACATGGACTCCAGTAAGAACAGGACTGGGCCATTCACTGTAAAGGAAAAGTGCTGCAGAACAGTTTAAAGAAGTGGAAAAAACCAGAGACCACTGGTTTTGGGAGTGTGTGCAAAGAAAATAAAAGCCTTTTATCATCCACTCGAGGCCAGCTATTTATTCACTCTGCAGTACTGCAGTACTGCAGGGCCTTCACTCTGAGCTACACCCCCGGCCCTTTATAAATTTTGGAATAGGGTCTCAGTAAGCCACTCAGTTGCCCAGGCTGGGCTTGAACTTGTGACCCCCTGCCTCAGCTTCCCAGAGGGCTGGGATTTCAGGCGTGTGGCGCCAACACCCCCAGCTGAGGTTTTTCCACCCAGAATTGACCTTCGTCCACTTGAAAACCCTGAAAATGTTCCCATTACTTGCCTAATCACTCTTATCAGTCGCTCTCACCTGGAATTTGTATTCCAATTCACTAGGGTCCTCCCGAAGCACATTGGGGCATCTGTGCAAAATCTCGGTGACCTGCTGCACTGTGAAAAGGCACTTCTCCTTGAGGACCTGAACAACTTCATCAACATCCCGCTGACGCATGGTGAAAATCTCAGGGCAGCTGTGAAGCACCCTCTTTAATTTCCCTGCAATGGCATTAAGGATAGGAAAGCATATAATTTCAGGATACTCCAGAAACCCAGGGCTAACTGGCCTCGGAGCTTAGACCAGTTAGTTAGCTTAAGAAATGACTGGAGATCCTCTCGATCCAGAGGACAAGTGCAGACCTCAGACTCACCTTCCACACAGCACCATGGGAATGACTCCACATACTCACCAGCCCAGCCTGCACCCCTGCCTTTTCTGGCCTCCCACCTGAAGACGTTAACTTCAAATTCCAGGTTCTCCCCTTTCCCTCATCCCCTCGACAAGAATTTCCCAGAGGTTTATAGGAAGAATTAGTAACATGGGAGTAGCTTCCCTCCCAGCAGGGCTCTGGGTTGCTGCTTCCCTTAGTACTGAAACAGCCGCCGTAGCATTCACAGCCAACCTTCTCGGGACCTGGGACCCTGCCTCAGTGGTAAGGAGCACTGATGATGGGAATAATAGCATCTTGATGTACATCACAAATATCAACATCTTAGTTGCCTGGGAACCCATGTGCTTTATCCAAACCAGGCCCACGTGAGTGTAAAAATCCATTAAGACAAATGGTGTGAAATGCAACTATCCCAGGCAAATTAGGGCACACTTACTATGGAAAGTTGGGCAAAATTTAGCAAATGGAAATTTAAAATCACTTTCTAAACTCACTAAAATGTGTGAAGAATGGATTTCAGTAGTTTAGGCTTTATCTTCATCTCTTAAGCTGTCCCAAGCTTGCTAGTGAATAACAACAGCACATACCCTCTCACGTTTAGGCTTCAGATCACATTTTAAGAGATAATCCGTTAAGAGAAATAGACTAGGCTATCCTTTTACTTATTTTCTAAAGGAAGCCTGTAGAGACCCTAAGAAATTGTGAGCCCTCAACCTTCGCTGCCCACCTGCATCTTACCAGGAAGAGTCAATAATAAAAGAAATAATAGTGGAGGCTGCCTGGCGCGCGCACCTCACTTGAGCCCTGGGCTGTAGTCGTTGTTCCTGAGGTGGGAAATGGGGCGAGAGCTATGGCTCTACTTTGAGTCCCATTCCCAAAGAGGTATTTTCCCCCCATCTCCTCAGTAGCATAATGCAGAACTTAAGAAGGGTGCACGTTAGTAGCAGTTTGCGGGACTCCCTGCTTTCAACCTAACTTGTCTTCAGTTATCTGAGGAGGGATGTTAGGAAGCTCCAAGAAATGGGGGCCATAGAGGGCATGTGTACCGTTTCGGTTGTTTTTGTTTTGTTTTCCTTGCGGTACTTGGGTTAAACATAAGGCCTTCGTACTGAGCTACTTAACCAAACCGTTTTGTTTGCGTAAGGGAACAAGAGTCTCGCTATGTAGCCCAGGCTGGCCTCGAACAGCCTGTCTCAGCCTCCTGAGTGCTGGGATTACAGGATTGCAGATGTGTGCCACCACGCTAGGCATGGCTGGTTTTTAAATTTAAATTTTATTTTTTTGGTACCAGAGATCGAACTCAGGACCTTGTGCTTGAGAGGCAGGCAGTGGCACCATTGAGCTAAATACCCAGCCTATGGCTGGTTTTTAACTTCAGGAATTCCAGAGCAGGAGGGTCATTGTGGTAGGAGGCAGCCAGTCCATTCCCTCAAAAAGATCAGAAAAGACCAACACTGCCAGTTGAATTTGATTGTAAAACACTCTTGGGACTGAGATACTGGTTCCAAATTCCTGTGGAGATTTTCAGATAAGTCCCTGAAGCATGTCAGGTCTGGAGGGCAGGGAATTTTCCATCACAATGATAGAATAATTATGGAATGCTTACTATGAGCAAAGCAATCTACAAGAAAGTTTTAAAAAGTAGTCTACACACAACCTTACAATAATCCTGACATCTGGCTGTTAACATCCCACTTGATAAATGAAAAAACACAAAGGTTATGGAATTTATCAAACGTGAAAAAGCTAGTAAGTAGTCTTGAAGATTTAATCAGGCATTTCCTGAAACAGATAAAAATAAAGTCAGCACCCACACCTGTAGTCCCAGTACTGACTGAGGTTGAGGCAGGTGGATCATATAAACCCACGTGGAAAATTTAGCAAGTCCCTGTCTCAAAATTTAAAAATTTAAATGGGAGGGCAGCTGGGGGAAACAGCTCAAGGCAAAGACCCTGTGTTCAATGCCTAGTATGTGGGGAGGAAAAAAAAGGTAACCTCTCCAAGGGGGTTACCTGGACCAAGTAACAAGCCCCAGTTCAGAACTGTTACTCAATTTCAATCTAGTAATAGAAGTCTCCTGGGTCATTTTGGTAGGCCTCAGGGAAACAGTAAAACACATGGGCAATACATAATCCTAGCACTCAGGAGGCTGAGGCAGGAGGATCCCTGTGAGTTCAAGGTCAGCTGAACTACATGAGACCCTGTCTCAAACCAAAAAACAACACCCCCCCCCAACAACAATAAACTTAGACAAAAGTAAAAAAAAAAAAAAAGAAAGAATAGTGGAACTCCTCTGGTCAAGAGGATAGAGGTCCTTGGACATCCTCATAGGTCCTATCCTCCTTCTCCAGAAGATCCCTAAAGAGATCCAAGGAATCTCAAGGATCTCTGAAGTGTGAACAACTCTGGGAAGGAAGGTGAGACAGCCAGAGGGAGTCCACTCTGCCATCTTCCCAATATCTCTCAGGTTCCACAGTAAATCAAGACACTTAGCTGGACTCTAAGTCTATGAGGGATGGAGTCATGGGCTAAGACTGCACTGAGTAGGTCTTCACATCAAAGGTTACACATATGTGCACACATGTCACCTCCCCAAAGTAACACCACTGAACACAGACTGTGTGCCTCCACTCTCCTAGGAGGTAGAGATCCTCAGTGAACTCATCAACCAGGGCTGGTCCTGGCCCTTGGTTCTCTCTTCTAGTCCTAATCTCCCCAATAGCCCCTGCAATGCCTTCTGCAGAGGCCACTCCTCCAGGCCACATTATATGTTCTCTTCTAGGACAGACTTCTCAGAAACTTGAGCTAACCCATCTCACCTTAGGCTATTCTTTCCCCAACTCTTAACTCCTCTCACACTATTTAAAATCTCCATCTCCTTGTACCTTCTCCGAGGCCAAGCTTCCGCAAGTAACTGGAACGCTTCTTTACTTGCACTACAGGCAGGTTCAGTAACTGGGGGCTTTGCTTCAAGGCCACATACACAGGCTCTGGATTTACACCCAGGAGTATAAATTCTGAAATGAGGTCCAGCAACTGTTGAGGGCTGGGACCTGGCTGTATACTAAGCAATTCATTAATATGGGCATCACTGAAACCCATGTCCAGGAGGGAACAGACGACTTTTTCTAGTCTCCGTGGCTCTCCATCCACAGAAGTTCCCTGCTTCTCAGGGAGGCAATAAACAAGATTTGCCTGGCATTGTAGTTGCTGCACACACTTCTTGGGTCCAACCAAGGGTAACTCCTCAAAGCCCCCTCCATTGGAGGCTGTTGTCAGTTTTCGTAACAAAGAAGCAGTTGTCCTTTTCTGTTCTCCAAGGTGAGGAGTCAGTTTAGCCAAACGGACCCAGGTGAGGGGGATGTGGTGGTGCAAACCAAGAACCTATAAAAAATAGAACCAAAGAGAATCAATTCCACCCCAGTAAAATAAACACCATAAGATTTCTGAGCCAAGGTATTTAGTACCTTGATCCCACACGAGCATAGGTTTCACAAGCAATCTGAAAAGTCACATCTCATCTTACAACCTACAGAGAAAGAAGTTCTTGAAAGCGAACAGGGTAATGGAAGTACAAACAGAGCCAGGCATACATGGAACTGTTAGCTTTGCTAACTGCAGGGCCAGCAGGGAGCAAAGGGGACAGAGTCTTGGTTTCACAAAGTCCAAGAACAAAGTCTCAAACCAAAGGAAGAACTGAAGAGAGTTTACTGGAAATAATAAAAAGTTCATGGCGTCTATCAGAGGGAATTCCAAACAGAAGTCCATACTGTGTTTCTTGTTCTGCTCTTATATACAAATAAGCAGAACTCAGGAAGAGTAAGAGAAAAAAAGAAAAAGAAGTTCAAAAGTACCTGGTTATTTTGCATTTCTAATAGTTCTCAAAGTCTGGAGGTAGGAGGTGTTAATTAGTGTCCTTCTTTCTCTATTATTATCCTAACCTTTTCTCTTTTGTTTTTGCTTCTTTTACATTTCTTTTTCTCTTTTTTGGTAAGGGGATTAGCTCAGGACCTTGCGCTTGCGGGGCAGGGGGCGGCACTACTGAGCTGCATCCCCGGTCCTTTTACATTTCTAAGCTTAGCTAGCTGCTTAAAGTAGCTCTTAACCCGATGGGCTATTCTCTTTTATTGACCGAATCTTTAAGCTGCTCGGCCTGCCTACTCAAATTAACTAAACTACTACACTATTTCAAGGCCACTTCGTAACAGTTGCTCAGAAATTCTAAATCGCAGACGAATCTCCAGATTCGTTACCTAAATTCATTCCAGGAACACTCTTGGATACGTTAGTCTGCCAGTCAGCCTTAACAGACACCCCACTGACCTCCGCGTTCGGGCTAGCAGGTCACAAGCACAAAACAGGCCTGCTCTCAACTCGGGGCGCGGCGCCAACCCTCCCCCGGGTCGCTCCTCTCCACCTCCCGGGTCGCCCCGGGCCCTGCCGCGACACACTGACCGCAGAGGCTCCTCTGCGTCCCCGCCCGCCGGCGCGCCACCCCGGCGAAGCCTGGGACCTAGTTCGACCTTACCTGCCGGCCGAACACAGCCATAGCGTGGAGGTGGAGGTGGCGCCGGAAGTAGCGCTCTGTCCGGCCCCTCACTTCCGGCATCCGGTCCTTTTCCATCGCTCTCCCCAGCGACAGCGCGGGTGCGCGGGGTTAACGTTCCGGGCGCACGTGCCTCTGCCCAACCTCATCCGGGCGCCTCGGTTTCTGGTGGCTCCACGGCTGCACCGCCTCCTTAAACCCTCGTCGAGCCTCTCCAGGAGCTCGAAGGAGCGCCGCGGACCCACACTCAGTTCCCCGAGGGTAGAGCTGCTCGCCGCTCAGCTGTTTCCTGGAGCGCCCCCAGCTCCTTCCTCTAGCTGGGAGCCCAGAGCCAGCTCCGGACAGTGTCTAAACCCAGTGCTCGACGTGAATACCCGGCCACGACACACCAAGCGAAGTCCTAACCGTTTTTGTTTTGTTTTTGGTTCCGGGGATCGAACTCAGGACCTTCCGCTTGCGAGAAAGGCGCCGGAACCACTGAGCTAAATCCCCAGCCCCTCTAACCGTTTTTAAACACATGACCCAAGTAACAATATGATGGGAACCAAGGCGCATCCGTCTTTCCAGTCACAGAGCCCTCCACAGGGTCTGGTCTCCGCTGAGGAGGAACAGCACTGCCTCAGCCTACTGTGTATTCAAATTTCAGACCCAGATCTGTTTGGGCAGAGAGCCTAGGCATCTTTCAAGAGGTGATAATTGTGAACAATACAAAGGTTTGCTTTCCCAGCTGCCTAAACTCCACTTGTAAATCTTAGTTTACAGCCATTTCTTGTTCTATCGACTTGGCTGAAAGAAAAGAAAGGAAAAAAAAAAAAAGGATAAGGGTTCGAGTCTTGGATAGGACTACATTTACCTGCTGCGTGCCAGGCACTGAGCTGCTCCTAAAGTGTTGGAACATATCTTCTGACAGAGGATTATATAACAGGAAGGCCGTAGTCTGCATAAAACTAAAGAAGTGATTGGTTTATCTTTTTTAAAATTTAATTTTCTTCTTTAAATACTCAGCTGCCAGCACCTCAAAATAAAGTGTTAATGTTCTTACATCCAAACCTAAGAAGATTCTGTGCCACGGTGGCTCCCTGCAAAGGACCAAGGAACTGGAAGAGGTCAGCTGGCTCCAGAAGCAGTGATGGCTGGGATGCAGCAGCAAAAATTAGTTAGTAGGAAAAATTGGCAGCATCTTCAGGCTTGTGAAAACTCGGCTTTCATGAGGCATATTTGAAACATGGAGAGGAAACACTGTCAGTCACAGCCTTACAACTTCTCTCCAGGTGCTTTCTGCACAGAACACCTGCAAAGGATCATACCTATTACCGTGCAGTCAAATGAGTTTTAACTATTTTGTCTTATAAAGAAGCAACAGTTTGGGTTGAGGATATAGCTCTGCATTAGTGCTTGCATGCATGTGAAGACCTGATCTCCAATGTGGAAGAAAACAAGCAAAACCAAGAAGTGAGTTCTTGGAAAGCTAGCACTTCACATCCTCAGCCTAACGCACATCTGTCTGAAAAACATTCTGTAACACCTTATAGTTGATAAGCATCAGAAACACCAAAAGAAAAATGTTTATTTCATTCTTGAAAATAAGAGTTTGAATACCAGAAAACTCAGGAATTCTGAAACAAAAATGTCATGCAGACAGGGATATGGGCCAGGCCAGCTGTCATGGGGTGACAGTGCTGGGTGGAGAGCAGTCTCACAGACAGCAGACAGCTGGCAGCCCAGGGCCTGCCCGGCTGTGTGTGGAGGACTGAGAACACCGCACCCCAAGTCCTCTGAGAAGGAGATGCTTGAGAGTCCCCAGCCCATCTCTGGTACAGCCCCTGGAGGAGGGATCCCCGTGCTGAATGAGACTGCATTTCTCTCTCGCTGTGGGAAGGAGGGTGCACAAATGCAAAAATAAAGAAACCAGGGGCTTCTCACACTGAGCAAGGTGGGACAATTTATGATCCCAGGCTCCATAACAGTTTATTCACAAAGTTGCTTTAATTTGGAAACTGTTCAAAGAAATCAGTTAATGAAATAGTCTGGTCATTTGGCTACCCTAAAACCTATGTATATAGGTAAAAACAGAAAGAATAAAACTCTTCCTTCCAGAGGCTCACAAATCAAAAGCCTTTTAGTAGTATAAAGTAATTATAACCTAGAATGCTTTGCAAAGTCGCAAAAAAACATGAATTCCAAGTCCATTTTATAACCTTTAAGAAATATAGTACCGCTGGCTTTCGCTGTAGCATGTACCAAACTTGCACCTGGGTTTATAGGTGGTGAAGGGGACCAGGTGTTAAGAATTTACTTTCTCCAAGTGGAAGAGGCCGGAAATCCATGAACTGAGTGGAGATGGGCAGCAGGAAGCACCAGTTCAGCTGACCAGTGGAGAGGGGTCCTCAGGACCTGAACAGCACTGACCACTGGGAGCCTCCGCAGGCCCAGGGGGCCCGTGGAGCCTCCTATCCCCGGCCGCTTCGCTCAGGCTCCTGCTGCCTGTCCGCAGCTCCAGACTCCCAGTTGACAGCAGGCTGCCCTCTAAAGGAAAAAGAAGACACTTTGTTGCATGCTAACAATAACAAGATGCTAACACACTTTGTTTCTCACTAGAAGTCCTAACAACAAAAGAATTGGTGGGGGAGACTTCAGAAATCCCACTGGCAACAGAACATGCTAAGGAGCAGGGGACTTTGAGCCCAGAACCAGTCAACCCTGTCTGCCTGCTATGAGCTGGTTCCAGCTTGAGCCAAGAGCTTTGTCTGAAAAGCTGCTCCTCCAGCCCAAGCCCCAGATCAGCAACCTCAGCATCTGTGGCTGCCCTCCCTCCAATCCTACAGCCACACTGAACCAGTGGCATCCAGGGCCTCTGGCATGGAATCAAGCCCCAACACTTGCAGCCAGGACAAAGGAGGAAGCCTCACCTGGAAGGCAGCACACAGAGAGGGAGGGGCGGAGACTCTCACCTGGCTTGTTAGTTCTGTACACCTCCTCCCAGGTATATTCAGCAAGGTTGACAGGCTGCGTCACCCACGGGTCTGTCATCAGCTTCTCCAAGGTGGTGCGCTGCTCAGGGGCAGGCTGCAACAGCCCACACACAAGGCTCGTGAGTTCTGGGGACGTAAAAAACATAGGTCGGGAGCAGGGCAGCATGTCTGAGACCCAGAGGCTCTCAGGTACCCCGCCTCTGCAGAGCCTCTGACAAAGCAGGGGCAGCCAGGAACCTGGGCTCTAGGCCTGGCAGCCCTCAGGGAAGGCCGGTGGACAGCTCATCCCCTCCAAAATGAAAGCCTGGAGTTGGAAACCCATCACACTAGGACCAGATGGCCCAGAGCTTCCCAATTAGTCCATTCCCAGGAGCCCTGAACACTCAGGACAGACATGGCAGGTAGAGGAAGGAGTAGCAGGCTAGGATGTCCCCACATCAGCCTATGGGAAGCATGGTGAGCTCCGGAGAGCAGCAGCTTTGGGTCTGGATTTGGACCCCACTTCCTCCAACAATGTAGGCATCAACATAACCAGGGCCACCCGAGCCTCTCTGTCCAGGGCCCCACCCTTTAAGCCTAGCAAGAGAACACGTGGAACAGCCTCTGTGGGTAGAACCTCAACAATCCAGAGCTTCCGCAAAGATGCACTTCCAGGCTGAGTACCTCCCCGCAGTGTGTATACTGAAGCCAGACCCCAATGTGATGGTAGGGGAGGTGGCCACTGGGGGGTGTCGAGGGTTAGATGAGCTCCTGAGGGAGGCAGCACGATGGGATTCTCGTCCCTATGAGAGGAGGAAGGGACCAGGGTCCCTCTCTGTCCACCACGTGAGGACCTGTGAGCCGGGAAGAGAGTCCTCACTAGCAGCCCAAATCTGCCAGCATGCTGACCTCAGACTGCCAGCTCCATAACTGAGAACAAATGTCTGTTGTCTCAGGGCCCTGCCTGTGGATTCTATGGCATCAGCCCGAGCTATAGACGGAGGCTTCCAACCTGAGCCAAGGCCCCAGGCACAGACTCTGGCTGAAGACGCTTGTCACCTCACGGCGCTCAGCAGTGCCTGCGATGGAATCGCAGTGTCAGGTGGGAAGGGCCCAGCCGGCAGCTGCCACCTCCTGCCAGCCCCGTGGGCTCCTCTCTGGCCACGGACCCAACGTCGGCCTCACCACACTGGTCCTCACTCCAGATGTAAAGCTCAGGTCCCAGCACCCATCGACACCCCTCCACACGCCAGGGCTTCTGGTCTACATGCCCAGTCTTACTGGTGCTGCCCCTGGCAAGGACCGTGACTGTAAAGTCTACTGCTCACAGAGGGCCTGGAAGGTCCTAGGGACGCCAATGAAAATTCATAATCAAGATGTTTTCCAGTCCTATTCAAATCTTTCTGACACTCAGATCAAGGAATTAGGAGAAAGAAAAGAGAGATGAATGAGGTCATTGGTATGGACAGAGAGGGAGAAGAGGGAACTGATCCTGGTGGCACTGCCTGTAATCCCAGCACTCAGGAGGCTGAGGCAGGAGGATGACTATGGGTTTGAGGCCATTGTGGGTGAGTCCAAGGCCAGCTTGGACTACATAGCGAGACCCTGTCTCAAAAAAACAGAGAGGGGGAGAGAGGGGGAGAGA